TGTGTGTGTGTATGTGTGTGCACACACATGCATGCACACACACAGGTGTATAAATGGTGATATTCAAATTCTCTCATTCTTTCTACATTTAACTAGTTTCCTTCTACAAAAACAATTGCCATCAACTATTTGCTTACCCCAAAATACAAATTGTACAGAAGCGTCTGAATAAATGCTAGATTCTTTCCTTTTATTCATCCAATTTAGTAAGTAATAAGTTAGCACCCAAAAGTATTAAGTAAATGAGAACCAATGTAGTTTACATGTTTTGGCTTTCCTACAATTTGAGAATCTTATTATGATGTAAAAAAAAAAAAAAAAAAAAAAAGTCCCATAGTCTTACTTTCTTTAACCCAAACTCATTATCAGAAGCAGTTGGAGTTGACACATCAAAAAACCTTACCTCATTCTCTGACGAACTTGCAGAGAGCAGCACCTCCTGGGCATCAAAGAACTCGGAGACAGACTCTGACATGGACAGGCGGCTTTCGTTGGCTACCTGCTGCGACAGGGGGAGACTGACATGGATTTGTTCACCAGCCTACAGAGGAGAGAAGCACTTGCTGTCATTGTTTTTCCCTTGAAAGAAAAGCTATTTGTTGAAATTAGACCATCATGTGCCAGGCCAGATTTCTAGAGAAATTCACACCATATGTTAAAAGAGTGGTGACCACAAGTAATTTTCACTTGCAACTCAGTAATGACCATTGCATAAGTTTCCTTCTAATATGTCTAAAGAATCTGAAAGGCATAGTTGAAAGGTGTTGGTACTGTGACTCGATTTCAGATCTATGCTCAATGGATATTAAGTGGAGTTTAACAGCTTGAACCCCTATCAATACCCCGATTTGATTGTGCAGACAGGTTCATTCTCATATACTTAGATCTGTTGTTACTAGCCATATTCTAACCAGTATACTAAATCTCAAGACATATTTGTAGAAGCCTCTAGATATGCTAAGAAAACAATCTGTAAAACTAATTTTTGATACAGAATATATAAGTCATTTTCCAATTTGATCATGGATTTTGACCAATGAGATAAGAGGACTAGAGTATTAAACCTATGTCAAATTATATTTTTATTCAGTAAGTCAAACTGTGTGTGTGTGTGTGTGTGTGTGTGCGCATGTGCGTGTAAAATAGTACACATTTCAGGTTGGAAAGATTCAAACTAAGACTAAGATTCAAACTAAGATTTAACAATTTTTGAATGATCAAGTTTTGGAAATAATTTTGGATTCTGAGCAGGTGAGTGAGCGTGAGTATCACCAGATATCATGTGATATCAGCATGAAGGTGAGTGAACATAGGGTGGGAAATTTAAGTCAAAAAGAAGTTGTCTTGGGGTGTCTGGGTGTCTCAGTTGGGTAAGCATCCAACTCTTGGTTTCAGTTCAGGTCACGATCTCTCAGTTCATGAGATCGAGTCCCATGTTGGGCTCTATGCTGACAGCATGGAGCTGGCTTGGGATTCTCTCTGTATGTGTCTCTGCTCCTCCCCCCACTAACTCTCACTCTTTCTCTCTCCCTCTCAAAATACAAAAATAAACATTAAAAAAAGAGAAGCTGTCTTGGGATGGCATATCCCAAGCAATTAGATGATAGAATCCTGGCACCTATAGATGTTTAGTAAAATGTGCTTCTGTAAATATGACCTTCACATTAGTTAAAACCCTTACTTGTTACATATATTACTGTATATAAGGCTCTAATATTACTGTTGAAAAGTATAAAGTCTCATGGTTATAAAGTCATAATTTTATAAAGGGTTATAAACAGAATTATATACTAAGTCTAGCCCAAATACTGAATGTTTTTCTATCCTTTTACTAATACCTCAAAAATTCTACTGAAAAATGGAATAATAATAGCACCCACCTCAGAGGTCATTGGGAGTGTCAAATGAAATAACACACGTTAAGTTGTTAGCACAATGCCTACCGCACGGTAAGCATTCATTCACTTGACCTCTGTTAGCAACTAATTATTAATTATCATCATCACTTTTAGTAACTGCAACAGCATTATTAGTATTATTTTAGCAAGGTTAGGTAATTTCTTTCCTAAGATGGGGCTTTCAAAATAAATCTTAAGAAAACTTGCATTTAGCACCCTCTCAGCTAAAAATGTTTTTTCCCCAACATTTCATGGGTCATTTGATGATAATGAACATTTCAAATGAAGACTGCGACAGACACAGGAAATTCACAAGCTGGAGTAGATATACAAACTAAATATTCAGTAGCATCAGATGAACATTGATATAAATAAAAAATAGACACTGATCACCAAGAAGAAATGATATTGAGCTTATGGACATCCCTCACTCTAAAGAACACTGAACTGTCAACAACACAAATACTTATGCAGAGAATCTTCTTAACATTGTAAGAACTGTAAAAAAGAACCCCCCACCCCCAAATATACAGTAGAATTAGATGCCATAAAATAAGTACTCGACATCTATTAAAAATGAGTCTTACCTCATCAGGGCTAGGAATAATATTTACACTGACAACCTGATCACAAATAATAGATTCTGAATGTATTCTGTTCAACCGACTTCTTAGTTCAGCATTCTGGTTGAGTGCCTTAAAATAACAAAAATTGCACATGTAATTTCAAGTTAATAAGCAAGCATAAAGCAGAACAAGCACACAAATACACATTAGACAACAAAGTCTAGGATGTTCTTAGCTATAATTTGTGGAGTCATCATAGGCCAGATCCTACTGTTAAGAAGGAAATGAATGGCTCAGAATTAAGGTATTCTTTTTTTTTTTTTTTTTTTTTTTTTTTTTTTTTTTTTGGTAAAATAATACTGCTGCTTAGTAGGTTAGTGGGTTAAAGAGTTCACAGATTTCATTAAAAAAAAAAAATGATTCATGGAATTATCTCCCCTTTGGAGTCAGGTCCATTACATCCAAACCCAATCTACCACCACATATATATTATGTTTTACAGCCTGGGATAAAAACTATGGATTCTTTCCATTTTTTTTTTGTTCTAGTTTCTAAAATTTGGAACTTGTCTCAGAGCCAGATAGTTATCCTAAAAATTATTTGGAAATGGAAGGAACAATGACCTGACTTTAATTTATAGAATTATATTTTATTCCAGTGAAAAAAATACTTGTATTTTCATTTCCTAGGAGCACATGCATATGACAGTATGGAAGAACTAACTCATGTACAGACCCAAAGGTGCCTTCATTGAGCAGTGTAGACCTTGACAAGCATAATAAAGAACACATCACCGGAAGGAAACAAACTCCAAGTTATCAGCATCACACGACTTTCAACATACCCAGAGTCTGCATCAGTAAAGCACTACCTGGCACAACAATTTAGTATGTGTGGCAGGAAGAGAATAGCTTTACATAAGCATGGTCTCCCTACAGGTGCCCTGTGGACAAAGGTACTGTCATCACATCAATGCATGGGAACATGTTCTATATACATAAGACAGATGTAGCTAACTGGAATTACATCAAGGATCAGGGCATGGGAGAACAAAGCCCAGCGAAATGCTGGCCAGTTCCTTTGCTTCGCATTAAAATCAGCAATTAGAAGATGGAGGTGGATGCCTTACGAGGTGGAAGATAAATGTCAGACTTGTGAAGGCATCTTCCCCAGGGAACAGACTACTGCTTTCTTCATATGGAGTGTATGGATGTAGCAAACCAACACATATACAAACATAATATAATTCTAACTCTGTATCCATTAAAACAACCAGGATAAATTACAAAGTCAAGCTGAACTTGACTTGCATTGAGTGGTACACAGTCTCTGCCCATGGAGCATAGAACAGCCTTTCCTCTCTCCCTTCAACCTGACTTTGGCTTTTTGAGGAGAAAATTGTTCACTTACAGCTTTTGGCTGTTGTTTAAAGTCTTTATAACCAGCTTGTAAAATATGTGTAAAATATAACACACCTGGCCTGGTGGGCTGCCAAGTATTGATGGATTAAAGGTGGGTACAGATCTTACAATTGTTACGTTTACAGATGGAAGGAAATATGTGTCTAGTTCCTAAAACAGGGATGTGTTAGTTAGATAAAATGTGATCACTTTTATAGTAAATAAACTATGTACTTTAAAGGAAGAGTGCTAACATCTTTACATTCTGCAAAAGTGCTCAGGATCATTTTTCCTAGAGCAAGGTCTCTGACACTTGGTATTTGAAAACAAAATAAAAAAACAAACCTCATTACTTCTATCCTTTGTGACCACTTCACCTATGCTTATTTGTTCTTTCATTATATCTTTGCCCACAAGTATATCGAAAGTTGTCTTGTTTACTGAAATATTTGGAATCAGATATATTTTACTGTCTTGTAAGTAGGAAGGCTTGTGATGGGCTCTTTGATGGTTTTAACTGCAGAATCATAGTCTTGACCTGATGGTTTCAGACAAATCTCTGCAGAGGGTTTCTCCAAAGTGACGATACCTTTTGTTGTTGCTGGACAACACAACAGCACAAAATTCAATGGCAGGGGAAAATAACGGTTTTCCTCAGAGGAGGAGTTTTCAATACAGGCTTGCCATTTATAACACAACTTGCACTATTGTTTGCTCTGGATATTTTGTTAAATTCTCACTTAAGCTCTTATCTCATCCAATGTTCATTAAATGTAATTCTGCCTACAGGTGTGTGTGAAGGCACGCAAGGTAACTTGTAGCCACAATATCCATAGGGGGTGACCTAAAAGTTCAAAAGGAAAGTTTTTATTAATAATACATATGCAGTGGTAGAAGCAGGTTGTTGTCACATAGCCCCGAAAGCATGAACATAAATACTCTTCCAACTCTGGCAGCCCCAGCGGCAGAAGGTGGAAGCAGGCAGACAGCTAGCTAAGCGTGAAACAGTCCATTTCTGCACATCTTCCCTGGGCAGCTCCTCCTTTTGCCTTGATCACACAGACTGTTTCTGAAGTTTGCTACAGCTGAGTGCCATGAGCTTTGGGGTGCAGTGCTCTCTGGCAGTGCTTAGGGCCACCCTGAAACTCAACTATTTTCTCCGTAATGGTATCATGGAAATCTTGGGAACACTGAGGAATATAGGTATTTTCAGTGAAATGACACTATTAGTGATAACTACCATAGAAGAGCCCAGATGATGGCAGAAACAACGTTCAGAATGTACCCAAGGATCATGAACAGGGCAGAAGCAAGGAAAAAGGAGGTGGATCATCAGCTACTCATACCAGCCAACGAGCAAGAAAAGCTAAGGAGACTAGTTAGTAATAACATTGCTCTCTCAGGGACACGTGGGACCAAAGGCCTACCAGGGAGGAAGCACCCCAAGGCATAGGAACTGTCCTTGGATTCTTTACCAGGCAGGTTGTATGCTTATTCTCACCACTTGTTTTGGTTACTGAGCTTGGACTACACAAAAACTCTCTATAAAGTATTCTCATTTCCCCAGACCTCATGTCCTTCATACGTTCAAGCTGAATATATCCAAAAAACACACCATTCCATCCCAATCTAAAAAGGAAGTGACCATCTTGAAGTCCTGAGCCAGAATTGACGGAGTGTCCAAATCCCTACTGAGTTGACTATTAACTACCATTATCCCCTGGCAGACAGTGGGTAAGAATTACCTTCGACTGGGTGAGACTCTGGCATATACATTTTACTGAACAGAACTGTGAGTTCTGGGAAGGAAATATGGAAGCCTGATGGCTGGAGAAGGATATGAAACATATGGCAAGATGGAATCATCAGGGACTTAAATCCTTTGGATAAAAGCAGAACTAGTAGTTCAAAAGGAGTGAGAAAATCGGTACAGGAACTGTCAAAGCTAGAGCTATCAAGAACCAAATCCTGGGAATCTCTTTAAATTACCTTGTGTTTTTAATTTTAGTACATGCTATTACAGTATATTTGGAAAATGCAAAAAGTAAAATATATATATATATTTAAATTCATACCTTATTACCCAATCAACCAACTGTTGGTAGCTCGGTATATTTCTTTCCAGCTTTTTCCCATACATTTTCCACATTATTTAATGGTTGCATACTTTACGTCTGTGCCTGCCACTCATTCTTTGCATATAAACATTTATTTTATGGTGCAAACGCTTCACAAATATGACTTTAATGGTTGTGATCATTTTCTATTATTAGATACTTATGGTATTACTGATTTTTACTAGAATAAGTAATGCTGCCCTGAATGTTTATATGCATAATGGTTTTCTACATTCAGCATTACTTCCTCAGCCACAGGCCAAAGGGTCAAAGATAAAATCTTTTTAAGGCTTTAAGAAATATTACCAAATTATGTCCAAAATTACATCAATTTACATTTACTGGATAGCTAAAAAGAGATATAAACAATTCTATGAAGAGTATCTTCACGTACAAATTTTGCCAAGTCTCAGGGAACTCGAATTCAGGAATACTCTTGGAAGTTTTATCTCAATAAATACCCCAGAATATTTATTTTGTGTATGTGAAATGTTGTACACAGGAAGGATGGTAAATATTACAATTGGGATTTTAATCATATACTATGTGCCTTAAGCCAATTTTTCGCTTACCTGTCCATACGTACCATGTTTCATTGATTCTAAGATGCACATTTCCCCCTACATTTAACAACTCGGAAGCACTGTCAATTTAATTGACCAAAGTTTTTGTTTTTCTTTTTTAGTAATGCACATAATGATGGTGCATCTAATAATCTGTGGTATATTGACTTAATGAAATATGGTGATTCTAGCTGGAGTACAAGGGTCATATTCTGCCGCTCACATTTGAATGGACCCAACACCCACTACGTTTGACATAAGCTGTGCATAGATTCTGGGGCCAGAGATCAAACTAGTAACAGTGTCAAAGTGTAATGTATTAAGGATAGACTCAAGTGAAGTCAAATATTTTATTATTATAGTAAACCTGGGGTACTGAAGTTACTTTAGTCCTATATACTGTTTGATTTTGTTGTTCAGGATACTACATTAAATAGAATGATAGCGAAATTATAGCTGTGTGAAATAAAGTCATTTATAAAGGGAGAGAGACCATATACAATGCCCTGTCCTACAGGCTCAAATCCAACATCTGTGCTGCTTCTCAGGTGTAAAAGTTACTTTTAAAGTTTCATGGAGGTAAAATAACAGAATTATGTATGCCTTTGTGTACTCATAGATCAGGGAAGAAATACCACTTTGGAAGAGGAATTCATTATACTGTTCAGCCTTGCAAATTATTACATGCCTAAGGCAGGTAACAATTTATGCTGAGCAGGTAGTAAAGAATGCTAATTTCATGTATTTTATATGCTATGTGCCTTCTAAAAAGATGATGGAATTTGCCAGGTTGATATACTTAAAAACTTTATTGAAAAGCAGCATTTTGAAATTTTTACATATATCACACAGGACTTATGACAAATAAAAAATATACTTTAAAAATGTTAGACTATTTAAGAAGTTATTTAAACAGTCTCTCTCTCCTTCCCTCCCTATGGAGAGACTTAACTGGTCATAAAAAAATATCTAGGGGTTTAACTGATGACACTTGAATATGGATCAAAGCTTGTCATCTAAAATGACACTATAATGTGAAGTTATGCTAACATAAGGACATACTCAGAACACTTGTCTCAATGTATGCTACTTAGTATCTTGTTCAATTCTGAGTGCCATGTTAAAAGAGGGGCAGTGAAAACAGAGTTGGTCAACCAGGATGGCCCCATCAGTTCACTGTTCCCCCCCATCTTCATCCTCTGCGTCCTTCCCTTCATGACATGAACAAGCTGCCACAACTACCAAAGTTCAAGGATGACTTTCAGTCCATATATTGTTTACTGCTAAATCAGATTCTTAAAGCCCTTTACCTCTGATCTCAATGGTCAACACCATCTAAATTCTTTGGTTGCTTCCCCTGAGTCTCCATCAGAGGATCCTTTTTTTTTTTTTTTTAATGTCCTTTAACTATTAATGTTCTATATGGCAGCACCACTGACCCTCTTTTGTTCTGATTTATCAGTATCTGCAACTTCACCGATGTACCAGGGTATCCACACCCTTCTTTCTAGACCAGATCTACATCTATATATCTACATCTATATATCTGATTGTCTGATGGATGGCCCACAGACACCTCAGTCTCCACAAACCTCACTATTTATGCCTGAAAAATCAGTTTCTCTTGTATTCTCAATCTCAGGGAAAAGAACCGTCACTACTCTGTTACACAAGAAGTCTTGATTCTGTCTCCTTGTCTCTCTCTAACATGCAGCTGATAACCAGCCATGCTGATTCTACCCCCTCCTCCCCTTTCCCTCCCCTCCCCAGTCTTTGAAACTCATCCCCTCCTTCTACCAACCTGGTACTTCAAATACCTTAAGACTGTCCAACTGGCTTTGCCCTAATTCCATCCATCCTCCATACTGTACCAGATTAATCTTTCTAATATACAGATATACACACTATTATTTTCAATTTCTGGTATTATCACTCACTAGTTAAAATTCTCTAAGGCCTCCCTAGCAGTGATGAGATAAATCTAAACTCCTCTGTGTGGTCCTCGATGAGCTGGTTCCCACCCACTTACTTAGCTATTTCTAGATTAATTCGTCCTTGTGCAACCCATGCTTCAGGCACTATGAATTAACTCCCGTTCTGCAGATACCTCTCCACTGGTCTAGCCATGGATAGTGATTCCCTAGAAAGGAGTGAACTGTCAGTAAGCTAAAATGCCTAAGCAAAAGCTGTGGTTGGTTCCAAAAGACAGTCCATCCAGCCTTAGGGGAGATGAGTACAGATGGCCAGTGAGGGTACAGCTGGCCCAATGGGAGGGTATGGACAGACACAAGAATGTGAACGCAGCCAAAATGCTATGATGGCACACAACTGGAAGCCCTGAATTCTCTAGAGAATAGGGTATAACAAACTATCATTATAGTACCAGATTATTTTTACATTTTGTGAGGATAAAATTGAGTGGTCTGGTTAAAAAAATGTATACATAAAATATACATAAAATAAAATAAATAAATATATAACAGCCCCCACCCCACCCCCCCAAAAAACCCCACAACAAAAACCCCACAACAACCCAACAAAAATCTTTTAACTTTAAGTTTAGAGGCAAGTAAATTATGTTTTGATAAGAGAAGGAAATATAAAATTGATGTAACTCTGCTTTACTTTGCTTTTATCATGTTAGCATCAGGTCTTTCCTTGTGAACTGTTGCTGTCTATTTAGGTCCCATTCAAGGCTCAGTTCCTTCTGATCTGTGGCTCTGCTTAGAAGTCAGGGATCTCCCATTCTTCTGAACAACCAGAGCTCTGGAAATCTGCACCACCCATATGCTGCTCTGAAAGGACTATCACATGGTCCATTTAACTGTTTCCTTAGTAAATACTGCTTATCTCACTAACCAGATCATAAGCTTCCTGGGAACATAGCCAGGGCTACTTTCATCTTGGTGTTCCATACCTTGCACTATACCTAATATACCATCAATTAAATGAAATATAACAAATAAATGAATGAACAAATGAATCACTTTAGAAATTTCTCTTTATCATCATTTCTAACTTCATCTGATGCCCCAAAACATATCTCTATTTCTCATTCTCTGGTTTGCCAACAAAAAAAGCAAGCAAGCAAGAAACAAATACATTTTGAAACAATCAACAAAACTAAAAGGCAAAGGCAACCTATGGAATGGGAGAAGATAATTGCAAATGACATATCTGATAAAGGGTTAGTATCCAAAACACACGAAGAACTGATACACCTAACTCAGCACCCAAAAAACAAACAATCCAATTAAAAATGGGCAGAAGACATGAATAGACATTTCTCCAAAGAAGACATACAGACAGCCAAAAGACACATGAAAAGATGCTTTATCATCACTTATTATCAAGGAAATGCAAATAAAAACTACAATGAGATATCACACCCATCAGAGTGGCTAAAATAAAAACACAAGGAACAACAAACAGGTGTTGGTGAAAATGTGGTGAAACAGGATGCCTCTTACACTGTTGGTGGGAATGCAAACTGGTGCAGCCACTGTGGAAAAGAGTATGGAGGTTCCTCAAAAAGTTAAACATAGAACTACCTTACGACCCAGCAGTCATATACTGGGTATTTACCCAAAGAATACAAGAACACTAACTCAAAGGAATACATGCACACCTGTGTTTATAGCAGCATTATTTACAACAGCCAAGATATGGAAGCAACACAAGTGTCCATCAACTGATAGACAAAAAGATGTGGCATACACACACACACACACACACACACACACACACACACACAATGGAATATTATTCAGCCATAAAAAGAATGAAATCTTGGCATTTACAACAACATGAATGGAACTACAGAGTATAATGTTACACGAAATAAGTCAGTCAGAGAAAGACAAATACCATACAATTTCACTCATATGTGGGATTTAAGAAACAAAACAAACAAGGAAGAAACTAAGAGAGAGAGAGAGACAAACTAAGGAACAGACTCTTAACTATAGAGAACAAACTGTTGGTTACCAGAGGGGTGATGAATAGGGCAGGGGGGTGGAAGTGTGAAATAGGTGATGGGGATTAAGCAGTGCACTTGTGGTGAGCACCAGGTAATTACAATTAAAAATTTTTAAAAAATGTGCAAAGAAAGAAAAAATACGTTTTCTTGTTTTTCTTAGCATAAGCTTGTACCACTAAGCCTCTATCGTTTAATACATCTAAAGGAAACATTGCAACATTTAGGGGGATAAAAGTATATTTTACATGTTTACAGGATGACATTTGTACATTTACCTAACCATTAGCTTGATCTTTCTGATTCGTAATACTTTAAAATAATGATTCAGAAGATCAATTAACACAGACCGAGGATTCAACACATACATGACATAAGGAGCCCAAGGCAAACCATTAAAATATGCTTATGAAGAAACCCCTTCGCAGACTGGCACAACAGTTGCTGCTTTGAATGCTTGAATGCTCATGCTCCTGAGTCCCCCAGTTTTGCACGGGAAGCAGAATATGCACCTCAACTGACAGTGTTTTACGGGTAACAAAAGTGTGGCCCAGGTAACAATACACAGTAGCATGAAACTTAACACTGAAAGTTAGCTGACGGTTCAGGTACATAAAACATGGTGAGACAGTTCAAGTCTATTTTCAGGGACGGAGGGAAACTATTCAAGCGGGAGCTTATCCACATGGAAAACCACTTACCCAGGATTTGCTTGCTCCTTCACTCTGATCCAAGGCACCAGGAAGTGAACAATATTTTATATAAACACTGAGTTCTCACACAAAAATCACATAACAACATTGAGATCTCAAAGGGCGTTTTAAAAGTGCAGTTATAGACTGAATGAAGAAATTATTTCAGAGGAATTGCTCAGTGTAAAAAAGCATTACATACAGTTTTAAAGGATTTTTATCAGAAATATCAACTTTGATATATATAAGGATTTGATTAGTATTAATCAATATAATATATATTGAATAATATATAATGAATATATTAAATAATATATTTTATAATGCACAATATGTCTTGAAATATATGAGTCTAGCTTCAGGGAGTATAAGTTAGATAGGAAGAAAATCCTAAAAGTATAAATCAGAAAAGAAAACAAAAGGTAATAATAATCAGTAATTTTCAACAGATTAAGATGCAGTGTAAGTGAGAAAAAATAGTAAGTGTGGAAGATTTAGTAGATTCTGTTCTATTGAACACTGGATGGAATATATTCTAGAACATACTTTAAAAAGAGTAAGCCAAGTATAAATGCATGATTCTTCTTTTAAAACCAGGGACTGCCTTATCAATGGCCACTGAGAAGCATCAAAAAGTATTCAATCAGCTGAAATAGCAATTATATGTTTACAAGCAAGTTTGGTTGATTTTTGCTCTTACCTTGACTTTTTTTGCAAGAAAAGTTTAATTTAAGCTTTAATTTAAAAATTTAATCAGGCAACTGCAACGTCTTAGGGGATTTTCAATTGAACATGCCATCCATGATGGACCACCTCCACCCTTATCCTTGCCTTACAGGGTGGGGAATGTGTCAAGACGGTGAAACAAACACCCTCGTTTACCTGAGACAGTGACTGCCGGAGCCGTGCCACTTGCGTGCTGTGGCCTTTATTATGATCCTGTTCCGAAACTATTTGCTTAAGCTTCTCCTTCTCTATAGCTATGCTATTAAATGCAGACTTCAAAAGAGAATGCACTGGGTGGGGAAAAAAGTGAGAAACAAAGATCAAATGCATCCAGAAAGAATATACAAAATGATACATTTCTTAGCACTTTAACTCATGTATAGACATTGTCTGGAAAGATGACATTACAGTCTAATACAAGTTAGCCTTACAATGGTATCTTTCAAAATACCGATACACAAAACAAATACAGTAATGGTAATTAATCAGGGTGGAAATTCTAGCATTTCCTACCAGAAAAGACTTAGAAACAGGATACAAAATAAATTGATATTAATTCTTAAATATCGACATTTAAAAAATTATTCTATAATTCCTATGAAGAAAAAGGAATAAGTTTTACTCTGCACTGGCTGATAAGAATATTAACAGTTCTGTGTACAATGAATTCTCATGCAAATCATTTAGAACTATCCAGTAATTATTTCCGAAAGCAGGTACTCAAAAAGAACATTTTATAAATCCTGCCAAAATAAAACAGGCTGATTTAGAAGTCCTGACTAGTTCTCTTCGAGGTAGGAAATGATTTGGACTTGAAAATAATACTTAAATTACTCTCTCAGCCAGGAATACCTTGATGAGAAGTGCTTTCAAAGAGTAAAACTTCCAGTTTTAAAACAAATAAGTTCTGGAAATATACCAGTTTGGTGATATTTGATAATATTGTATTCATACCTCAAAGTTAAGAGAGTAGATCTTAAATGTTTTCCCACTAAAAAGAAATGGTAATTATGTGACATGATGGAGGTGTTAGCTGATGCTACAGTGGTAATCATTTTGTAATATACAAGTGTATCAAATCAATAGGTATACCTTAAACTTATGAAATATTATATGTCAAACATATCAGTACAGCTACCAAAAAAACACCCAAAATAAATGTAATAATAAAAACAACTCCTCCCCCCCCATTTCTGTACATCTAATAACCTACATGTGTAAAATCTGAGGCTGTCGTTAATTCCGAAATACAAGAAGGCTGAATTTCCAACTCCTATCTTTAGAATAACAGTTTCTATAATATGCAGTCTTCTAAAATAGGAATTTCCTTGTTTAAGAATGGTTGTTTTTAAAAGAAGTGGAAATTCTTAGCAAAATCACTGGCCTGAATTAAGAGGGAAAAACAGTGGGATCACAAGGGACTCAAAATCTATTGATTTATGTGCCATATTCTAGTCATCATCAATTTAAAGTTACTAACTTGATAGCTGGCATACATTAACCCCACTGGCAGTTCTATAAGCAGACTCTCATACACTTCAAAATCCATAATTCTTTCTAAAGAGTTCAACCAGTAGTCATAGAAAAGCCCTTTTTTCTAGCATAGTTAGAAAAAAATATGTTGTTTCAACAGGGGCTTTAAAATCCTGTTGAAACATGGATTTCCTGAAAACCTCAGGACTGCAACTGAATACACAAAACTTTCCTGGGGCTATCTTCAAATTTATTCATCTCCTTTTAGAGGCTGTGCTATACACACTTAATTCACACATTTGTTATCTCATTCTACCTGCTCCTACAACCACCTCCTGCCCCTGCTGTTAGAAGTAAAAGGTACTGGCTTTACTGGCCATAATCCTATGCTGTTACATACAGAAAATAACATTGACATAATTAGCATCTGGCTCAGAAGTGTAATAAAAACGTACTAGCAAATAGGGCACCTATGTGGCTCAGTTGGTTAAGCATCCAACTCAGTTTTGGCTTAGGTCATAATCTTGAGGCTCATGAGTTCAAGCCCTGCCTTGGGGTCCACGTTTACAGTGTGGAGCCTGCTTGGGATTCTCTCTTTCTCTCCCTCTTTCTCTGCCCCTCCTCTACTCAACTGTCTCTCTCAAAATAAATAAACTTAAAAAAAAAATAGCAGGAGTAAAATAGCAGGTGAAAGAGAGTTGGCCTTACAGAATTGCAATTGGGAAATCTACAGAAAAAAAGCGGAGAGATGATTTAGCTTAACTGTTTCCAGATTATAGAACTGAAGAAATATCTCATAGTACATCTTTGCTGATAGTTTCACAGTATAAAATTTTGTGGACTTCAACATTCCTAGAGATGCCCTCAGTGCATGCCCCTTCTTTTCCTGAGCTACCAGGCTCTTGGGCATTATTGGGCCCTTGAGATGTTCTATTTAGCACACATTTTCAAAATATTTTAGCACCTAACCTATTACCAATAGCCCCAGGGTAGATAAATGTCATTAATTTACAGTAAGATGTTAGTGACTGAAAACAACATAATGTATATCTTTCTCTAAGAGATTATACATTTTATTCTTTTTAAGTTTTATTTATTTATTTTGAGAGAGAGAGAGCATAGGCAGGAGAGGCAGAGAGAGAGAGAGCGGGGGGGTGGGGGTAGAGAATGAATCCCAAGAAGGCTCTAGACCATCAGTGCAGAGCCTGACATGGGGCTCGAACCCATGAACTGTGAGATCTGACCTGAGTTGCAACCCGGAGTCGGATGTTTAACCGATTGAGCCACCCAGGCACCCTGAGATTATGCATTTTAAAAGACAACGCCTGGGAAGGCACTATCTTAGATCAAAAAATGAATTTCAGTGACTGAAACTTAAATACTGTAGCAAAAGTGAGGATGGTAATTTGGAACCCAGGCTCTTGGTAAACACAGATAGGACTGCTCAATCCACCTACAAGCTACTGCCCTGACTCTTATTTATTACACCCTGCTCTCTATGGCTGATGGCAATAACTGAACCTATGCAACGCACCTTATTGAAAATTTAATATTAAAAAAAGTGACTCTAAGGTGGGGTCAGCTTCCCCTCCCCTCCAATCTGAACTGGCCTGTGAGGCTCTGAGCAGTAGAGTGCAGTGGAAGTGACTGTCCCAATCCCAGAGTTGGCCTTGAACAGGACTGGTAGCTTCTATCCCCGTCTATTCTATCCCCTTGGAGTCCCGAGCCGCCATGGAGAGAAAGAGGGACACAGTTATGTGCAAGCTTGCAACCACCCCTCCAACATGCCAGGAACACAGGGGAAGCCACCTTGGATCTTTTCAGCCCAATCCAGACTCCAGCCAAATACCACTGAGCCCAGGCAATGCCATATGGCACAAAAGAACTGCCTACCCGAGCCCTGCCTGAACTACAGACTGTAAGGTACAATCCATGAGTGTTATTTAATAAAGGAAAAGAAAGATTCCAACAGAGCTCCTTGCTAAGTGAGGATAACCCACAAGTAGGTATGAAATGATAACTAAAAGACACCGAAAAAAAGATGCTGAGTAGTAGTGTCCTGGTGGCCTACCTAGAAAAACTTTCTGTCTTTCCTCCTTTTTCTCCCCACTCATGACACTTTATTTGTTCAGTCAAAACTGTAAACCTATGATGCGTGTACTCCCAAGAGGCAGGCATGATACCCCACTGCATTCTTTATATAGAACTCCAATCAGTATATGCACTATTTAATCTTTCTACCATGACCACCTAGGCAAGGATGAGAGAGTAAATGGTAATCTCTCACCAAAGAAGAGAGCTTCTATAAAGGGCACGTTATGTTTGTTGTTACCTTTCTGTGCAATTAGACAAAATTCTTCTTGAAGCTTTGTATAATCCGTTGAGCTTTCCAGAGGGTCTGTGAGGTGACTAGGGGGCGTCTGAAACTCGATATCTGCACACAGGTTGGGGTTGGAGGAATGCAAGCGAACTGGCGACATGGTAGCACTGAAAGGGACCTGAGAGGGCAAGACACCAGTTAGAAAAGAGCAACCGTACATGTTCCACATTCTCTTACACAGGAAAGATCTCTTCCCTTCTTCAAAATACTAGATTCCTCTCCAATGATACACGCAGAGACACTCAGGACTTATTTAATTTGCAGGTGGCTGCGGTGGGAAAGAGCCTCACTCCCCATGGTTGAGGTGGTACTGCCCGTGGACTCACTGGCCTCTCCCCGTTACAGGGAGAGAGGGCTACAGAATGACAGGAAGGACAGGCATCGATACAGTTGTGTCTAAAAAATTGCTGGCAGGAAACCGTAGCCTGAACTCTCTTACAAAGTCTGGGTACTCGTGTCACAGGGCTTTTTATGCTCACTTGTTTCTGGGCCCGGAACAGGAGCTTACGGAACAGGTAAAAATTCAAGAGGCACCTAGACAGATTTACTTGCTCCGTGGCCATCAGACAAAACATAAATAAGTTTAATAGTAAATACAATAATGGCTTAAAGGGACACAAATAAATTTGAAATTGATTTATTAAGATATGTTTGTAAGTGAAATATATATTATATATATTTGTAAGTGAAATTGATTTATTACAAATATATTTGTAAGTGAAATAAATTACTGTAGTTTCCCTTTGTTACATACAACACTGTTACACATATGAATGTGGCTTACAAACTGGCCAATATTGAAAAACATTAAGTAAAAAAAGTCATATTACTATAGATTTTCCCAAATGGCTAGAGGTACTTTCTTGCTCATGCTGGATCTGGGCTAGCCTTCTGATGTGTGGGGGCAAAGCACCTTTCCCTCTCCTTCTGGAAGGTTATACCTGACTATTACAAATGCCATAGGCCAAACATTCTTAGAAAATGAGAATACCAATTCCTACCGTAAATCAGATCACCAGTAATCTCCCCTAATTCTTACTGCACAGATGTTCATTCAGATGTCTTCAAGAATCATTCTTTAGACTCCTCCAAGAGCTGAATTTTATATAAATTAAGAGGTAGTTCACACCTTCTAGCTAACAGGAAATATGCTTGTCTGATGTATATGTATATCAGAGCCACTTCCTTTTTTTCACATTTTGATTTAGCTTTAAAGTTCTTGACAGAAAATGAGAGACAGTGGGGGAGGGGTAGGGAGGGAGGGAGAGATGGAGAGATGGAGAGCGTGAGACAGAAAAAAAGGAGGAGAGGACGGGAAAACGGCATGCGCATGTGTACTGAGGATACAGAGGATAGATGGAAGACAAGGAGCAAACCAAAAAACCTAGGCTGAATGGCAGTCTGTGGCCCTGAGTGAGGGCAGCTGGGACTGGAGGGGGTCCTTTGCATGTAGCTTTGCCATGGCAGTGGCAAGGAGTTATTATCTCCAAGGATATCCAAAACTTACTGGGGAAGGAAGTGGGCATGAAGCTTTCTCCCTAAACTCAGCTAAGCTAAGCACGTTCATATATGATATCCAAAGCATCTGGTACCTGGAATTACCAAGTAGCTCTACTTTGTCCTTCATGGGGACCTTGGCTACACTGGGTTGGGACACATCTACAACTGGTTTATCTCGGCAAGATCAGAATTCCTGGTTATTCCAGAGAAGAGACATAAAAGTGGCAGAGAAGCCATTTGAGAAAATGGAATCCTTGAGTTCCATAATGTGCTAGAAACCTGTGCAGGTAACTCTGTGATAATGACTGAGGTCTTTTGGGGATGTCTCTAAAGGATGTAGAAGAATATTCGAAGATAGATGAAGGGCATTTGTGACCTTAACTGTGAGGATGCTAAATCCAGAAAGAGCAGTAAGCCCATAGCCCTCTGGGAGGGACACAGAGAATCCATGGGAAGGCTGGTGGAGATCAGGAAGTCACGGGGAGAAACTGTGACTTGAGCAAATGGGTAGACTGGGGAGTGTTCAGATTTAAGGAGATGGTTTCTGGACACAAAGATCTAGAAGAGCACTTAAGAAAAAGAAATGGTGGTGTTTGGTGATGGAGAATGAAACACATTGAGGATCATAGAAAAGGGTTCTGTTTGCATCCAGGTGCCCTCAACACTCCAAGGACTGGCATGAAGTAGGAGGGGAGGCAGGGAGGCCAGTGGAGGCCACAATGCAATAAAGGCCCAGACATTCCAGTGAGGGCTCAGACTTGTCCCTGAGATAATGGCCTGTCTATTAAAAGTTGGAATAATATGCTGAGAAGAAAAACACATTACACATTTATTTTCTTGAACATAATGGAAGTTTAAATTGGTAATTTAAGCAGTCAAAATGAAACAAACAGAAAAACCTAAAAAGCAAACAGTAAAAATGATCTTGTATATAGCCCCCAGGGAAAAGCACTCAGAATGCTCCATTCCAACTGCAATCAGACAGTTCCCTGGGAAACTGAACCTAATTTTTATATACTTCTGGCTGAAAATGTTTCTATTGGTACTCTTTTTGTTAAAAGAAGTATACGGAATGGACATTTTAACTGAAGCATTCATGACGTGAAATTGAGAATACAAATGGAGATGTATTAACTGAATGCCTCTTCAGCCCCTTCAGTTTTGTGTTCATCAATTTGAGTATTATGGGATTCAGAAACTGAAGTGGTAGCTAGGTCTTCTGTCAGTGATGGCTGGGATGGGAGCTGTCGACAGGTCTCATGGTTTGTGCCCCAGAATCCTCAGTGCTGGCTGCAGACTTTACACCCTGCTCAGGAAAGAAGTCCAAGCCTTCCCTGAGATCCTGTGCCAGGGAAGAAGCCTGATCCTGGAACATTCTGGTACCAGCTAACTGCAGTTTGGAATGGGGGTGTTAGGAGGTACTTTGAACACCTGTCTGTAAAGAAGTTAAAAGAGAAATGACCGATAGTGGAACGACAGCAATGGTAAACATAACTGAGGAAAGGAAGACACAAAAGCAGGTCTAAGATCCTAAGCATATACAACTGATGGAGCAAATGTGGAAAGTGTCCTGCTGTCCTTCCTCTGCCTCATGCGTACAGGGAGCCTCGGGTGGAGAACCGATCGCATTGGGGGCCCTCGGTGTTCTTCTGAGGAGAGGGGCCGGTGTGTCTCTTTTCCCAAACTCCTGTTCTGTTGGGTCTGGCTGATGTGATAAGTGAACCATTTCAAATTCCAGTGTTAGGAACCGACAAGAATACATCTCTGAAACATCTCCTTTGGGTATACTTTTCTTTGGGAGCAATCTCAGCGGCCCCACACACTTGAATGGGTCTCCTTCTCTCTGAGGGAGAGTAAGTAGCTAGGAATCATTTGGAAGAATTCTAGGTAAAATAGGACACGCTCAAAATGTATAGGATGAGTTAGTGCTGGGAAGAGGGAAGACAGGAAATTCAGAGGAACACTGACTAAGAGTCACCAGCATCAGATCACTTGAGATATAAATGAGGGGGCCAAGGGAGCAAGCTGAAAGTCCCGCTAGATGGTGTTATACTTTGCTATGGAGTCAAAGCTATAAATCCTACAAGGTTTAGAGTAACTATTTCCTCCCTTTATTTCTGAATAATTACTAAATGTAGCCAGCTTTTGTCATTTGATGCTTGGAATTATTGGAAGTTATTCTTAACTTCTGTGGTCACTGCTACCCTGAGAGGTGGGCGTTAATACTCTCTGCTTTTAAAAGCTTTTTCTTTTCTGTTTCCCATTCTATTTAAATAGGTTCTAATCCCAGTTTTCTTATACTATCTCTCTCTCTCTCTCTCTCTCTCTATATATATATATATATATATATATATCTGCAGTTAGAAAGATGAACACAGTAGAAACACAATCACTTCCCTGCATGCATTCTTGAAGGACATTATTTAAGGAACCACAGGTATTTTCACAAGAGGACTGACCTTTCCTTTCCATACTGAGGTACTGTTCTCTCTCTGATAGTCATCTGGATTTCTGAATTTTATAAATGAAAGATTAAGAACTACTTACCTAATTTTACATTTTTCTATTGTAATAATCTGTTATGGTGTCACATATTATGCATACATGCATAAGATACAGATTAATCATATATCAGTTTCACTGATTTGTTTAAATGTTCACAAAACTGAGTTTAAGAATCAATTCCTTGATAAACTCCAAGCCACTGGTTCATTTCATAATCAAAAGCAATTCTATCTCTCAAAAGATCCAGCTAAGCACCCAGATATAAGGCAGGAGTCAGTTATTAATCAAAAATAGAAAACCAACAATCCTTGCATGAGTATCCAGTCTCTTACAATGCAACCAAAACCTTTTCATGTTTTTCAGCAATTCTAGCCTTCAAGTATATTCCACCATCAGCAAGGGCAAGACTATTGTTAATTCAGAAAATATTACCTAATAGCCAGAAAAACCTAACATCCATGATTGCTATGAACTCAGTATTCTGTATTTTAAAAAGTTGACAGGATGTCAGGAGTAAGCAAATATTATGATATGCTTTTATCCAGCAAAGGGTTCTTGTATTTACATAGTCTATTTTCTATTCAGAATGCACCATTCACTATTCTAAACAGCTTCTACTCAATTTAAAATTTTGGTTATTTGCCTCATCTGTTTCAATACTTACTCTATCCTCCTAATACCCATCGTATTTTCTCTTAAAACCAAAACAAACCAACCTGTCTCTATATATGTACATTAAGCACTATTTAACTTTGTAGTTTTCTCCTTTCCACACTGTATTTTCTGATTTTCAGCTCAATAATCTTTCCAGAAAACAATTTTCCCTCGCTAGGTGTAATTTGGGTAGCCATTTAGAAATGACATCAAAATTCACCTTTTCTTACCCTCTCTTTTCTTTATTCTCACATCCTTTTCAAATAGTCACAATGCTACAAAAAAAAGCACAATTTATGTCTGTAGTAACATGACTTTTCTTAGAAAAACAGAAATCAGTTAGCAGGGGTTCTGATATCAGTATGACCAAAAAATAAAAAAATAAAAAATATAAATAAGTAGATAGGTAGATAACAATATCATTTTAGGAAATTCTGTATCAGTAACAGGTTACTCAGTTTTGCAACCTCGAATTTACATGGTTTCTTACACGGACAGTTGAAGAACTGGATCAGGGAGTAGTTTTCCATCGCAAACACGAATACCCATGTGCGACACCTGCCATGCAGAGACAGCCAGAGAGCATGCAAAAGCTAGGCCAGCACGGGAGTGGGTTACAGTTGATGCGGCTACACAGAAGGGGCACCACTGGGACAGGGAAGGTGACGCTTGGACAGTTTCTCATTCTTATTAAATGTCCACTTGAGATTGAAATCCACTCACTGTTGTAGCCACTGCTGCCGCTAGCCTCTGCCGGCGCCGAGTGGTGCTGAACTGGCCCTTCGCAGATGGCCCTTCCTGACAGTGAATGAGAGAAGAGGAGGGAGGAGAGGCCACGCGGGGAGGCGGGAGGAGGACACGGGGAGCGGGGAGGGGAAGACACGGTGGCGGGGGAGGAGAGGACAGGATACAGGAGGGTGAGAGATAATCGGACAAGGGAAAGGGAGAGTTTTTAAGTGGAGTTGACTTGTCCTAAATCGTAGCCCTGACAAGTGCTCAAAGGGGCATTCATAATGCTGTGAGAAAAGTTTTTTGTTTTTTTTTTTAATTTATTCATTTTTGAGAGACAGAGAGAGACAGAGTGCAAGTGGAGGAGGGGCAGAGAGAGAGAGGGAGACAGAATCTGAAGCAGGCTCCAGGCTCCAAGCTAGAGCCCGACGTGGGGCTCGAGCTCACAAACCACGAGATCATGACCTGAGCCGAAGTTGGACGCTCAACCGACTGAGCCACCCAGGCTCCCCAAAGTTCGTTGTTTTCATTGCAGAACCCCTAAACGTTTAAGTCTAGTTGCTGAATATAACCCCACCCCAAAGGGATATGGGAAATTATGAAGTGATGAACAGCTTGTGATTTTATGGTAAAATAAATGCGCATATTGTTTTACCCATGCAATGTCACGTTGTATGAAACCAACGGCATTTCCAATCAATGGAAGCAAAGATGAACCTAAGTTCAGGAAAAATGATTAAATAAATAATGTGCAAAGGCCAAAACCAACAAGTTGTAATGGGAGTCTCCCGTCAGCCAGGCAGAATTTTTTTTTGTTCCTTACTGGGAGGAAAAGTACACAAGCAAGGGTACCAGGAATCTTCAGCTTCCCATTTATTCCCCTACTAGAAAGCTCACTGGGATTCAACATTAGGAATGGTGTTGGGATTTTCAGGTTGGAGAATTTTTCAAGGAGGAAGCCAGTCCCCACAGCATAGAGAAAAAACAAACAAACAACACAACACTCAACGTCCTCAGTGTGTTGGCACAGTGCTTACAAAAATCAACTATGGAAACCTGAAAGCATGGGTTTCATTTAGTGATGTGCATCTATGCATAAACTAGTAGAAGAATACCGGAGCTTTCTTCTCTGTCTCTTTTTGGTGGCCAGGATTATGGGAGAATGATATTTCCTTCTAACCACTCAAGTCTGCATCCATCTGACAGACCCTCACTCTTCGTGATTGTGAGCAGTAATTTCAATTCCGGTGACCCGAGAGGGACTTAATACCACCTAACAGTGCAGATTAAGGAAAAGCAGTATGACTGCTTAAGCCTTTTTGGAACAACAGAAAAATATTTTAAATTTTTATCTCTCTAATCCTCTTCGAAGTTTCCACGTGACATTCCCATTGCTCTTCCACGTTCATAAATCTGCATGCATTACGTATATATTTATTGGATACACATATGCCTGTATAATGTGCTTTCCACAAAAAGTTTTCTATACAGAACCCCTTCATCTTTCATGTAGTAAGTAAAAAGAGGAAGAACTCATTTTTACCCTTCAGTATAATTTGAGCACCTGTGAGGTCTAGGACAGCTACATATGAATGACAACAGATCCTTTATCTGCTACTCTCCATGCTTCCTGCCAGTCCTCATTCTCTCCAACAACTAGGGATCTGGTATTAATTTGTGCGATTAGTCATGCAGGAAACCCAGCAGCTCTCGGGTCTGTGGCAACCCTTCACAAACCAGTCCCTTCTCGCCCTCCTCTACCTCATTGAAAACAGCCAAACTGTTACGGTGTGATGGTTATAATGAGATTTTTATTAGAACCCGAAACCTGAAGTTTGGGAGAAAGTCCTTTTTCTAAAAGGTAATCTCCACAGAGCCTTCCAGAAAAAATGCCTTCGATGAATCACATGAAGGATTTCTGAGGCTAGCTTCTCAACAGCTTCTAGTAGAAATACGGTCATACAGATCCAACATTTAACCTTCATATTCAAATCAATAGCACAACCTAACCCATGTGAAGAATAAGATCCCGAACATACAGTGTAACACGTTCTTCACTGCTACTTTCCCGAGGTCAGTTTTCTAAATGACCTGTCTTATAATCATTTCAAAACAACAACTACTGCAGAATGCTGAATACAAAGGTCAGTGCGACAGTACCAGTAACAGCAGCAGTGACAACAAGCACCATTACCACCACCAGGCCGTCGAGGTTCCTCCACAAAGGGCTGGTGCACCACAAGTTACAAACAACAGAGGGGTTGAAAAACGAGCCACTCCCTACAAAGCCTCTCACATTGACTGCCACCATGACACAGAAAGTGGTTCAAGAAGGGAGATGACAGTGGGCTCAAAATAAACACTTGCCCTCGGCTCCTGTGATCAACGAGGGAACAACCTGTGTATTAGGGTGGGAGAAGGTGGTAGGTATGTTTCATCCACTAAATAAAGATAAATGCTATGTCTTTCTGTAAGTAAAACAATGACGAGTAAAGACATTTACATTGGTCATAGGCATCCCCGGCTAATTTTATGGTTTCCTAGCCAAGTGTGTATGTTGGAGAAACTTCCAAGTAACTTCCTGTTAATAAAGAATGAGCACCCAGGGGTGCCTGGGTGGCTCAGTTGGTTGAGCATCCGACTTTGGCTCAGGTCACGGTCTCGCAGTTCGTGGGTTTGAGCCCTGCGTCAGGCTCTGTGCTAACAAACAGCTCAGAGCCTGGAGCCTGCTTCGGATTCTGTATCTCTCTCTCTCTCTCTCTCTCCCCATCCCCTGCTCATGCTCTGCCTCTCAAAAATAAATAAATGTGAAAAATAATTAAAAAAAAATAATGAGCATCCTAAGGGCTGCTAGAAGGCCTGCTGGTTTGGGTAAGCAGCATAGGTGCAGGGACAGTCCCAAATTCTGCAGCATTCACTCTATAATACCTTTTGTTTTACCAATCTAACTGAGCGCAGGGTTTCTCTGGGAGTAATAAATAGCTCACTGCCACCTCCAGGCCTAGTGATTTCCACTTGGAGTCAGAACTGAATCTTCTACTTTTGAAAGTTTAACGTTTTCTTTGAGTGTGGGGATGAAGTGGTTTCAGTTTCCCTCAAAAATAATTGAACTGGAATCACAAGGGCCATTTTGTTACTCTTTGGCAAAACAAAAACAAAGCATAAATAAACATTTAAAAGCAAACTACCCCAATATGCGGCAGAAGCACGAATGAAGAATATTTTCCTGCTTTTTGACCAATTTCTTCCGATGACTCAAAAACATCTTCATAAACTCTCCTCATACAGAAAAGCACAGCCTGTGACTAGAAGGGCTATTCAGAGTTGCATTCTGTTTCCTCCAGGAAAAACCGAGAGATAATAGGGACCACGGTGAGCCTCACGGCCACGGCAGGGCAGCCACGGGCATCCGGCTCAGACTCTCTGAGGACCAGCCAGCCTCTTCAAGGCAACGGCTGTGAACAGCAATGTGTTCAATGGCATACCTCATAAAAACGAGATCGAAACAATATCTGTCTACAAATGTATACGTTCATATGATGCGGCCTTCTTCAATTATTTTTATAATGGTTCTTTCTTTCTTGGCTATGAGAACCATTGATAACATGTTTTAAAAAGCCCCACAAAAGTAGACAATCACGTGCTCAAAGCAAATGAAACTACCAAAAGCAATTTGAGGTAAATTTTTCGTGAAGTCATCTGGCACATATGTCTTCTACAGTATTAACGTTCTGAATAGAAAACACACAAAAACATACTGAATAAAGGAACACAATAAATTGTGTTCATAGAATGTGGACAGTCTAACTAAAAAAACCATGAATCTTTAGTGCTTGTGAAAATTTATTTTCAAATATATCCTATTAGCAAGCAAAGCACCAAAGAGTTTGTTACTTACACACAACACAAAGAATATCAATATGGTCAGAATTAAAGAATTATTATTCACTCAGAAGACACTGAAGATTTCTGGAAAGCAGTTCCTTTTACCTTTTATTAGAATATTTAGAATACACCAAAAATTGATTTATGGTGTAATAAAAAGAAAAGCAAAATCCTAAGTCTGATTTTGATTGTTGGGGCAAGAGTTTTTTAGATAATATATAGCTAGGATCAGAATAGTAAACATTCTAGTTTAAAGATCTGAAAATAATATGATTATGACACAAGAGGTTTTAGGCATTTACCATATTTCATATCACTTCAATGCAATAACATAAGATGTTCTTACTTGAAAAATTTTAAACTACTCATTCAAATAAATAACTTACTTACAATAAATTTCAAGTAAATTTATCATGAGTCATTAAGACTTTCATGATACAGATTTTAAAAGTGATTATTGATCGTCAAATAATACCTCTGTTTGACAAATCATAGAGTTTTAGAGTTGAAAAGGAATTCAGAGATAATTAAGTTAACTCCATCACTTTACCCGGGAGCAAATGGAAACCTAGAAAATTTAATAGAAATGCACGAGATTATACTGCCAGGAAATCACAGTGATTACACTAGAGCCTGAGTTTGCTGACTTCCAATCTTTTGCAGACCTCATCCTTTTTTATTGATACATAAAATTTTGGATAAAGCTAATACATAAAAGGCTCTTTTAAGATCAAGTGTATATAAATGAGTGCTCATTACAACACACTGGATTTTTAGCCTAGATTTTTAAGGTAATTTTTTGTTAAATTACATTTTAATGATTCAAAGGCCATAAGTGAGAAGGAAAATGGCATTTTGTAGTCCTATTAAATCATTTTAACCTTTCTTTTAAATTATTTTTACTTATTCCAGAGTAAGATGAATAGATTTCTCGCTATTTTAGATAGTATAACTCAGTCTGTAAAGCCCTGGCTTTAAAGCATTTCAGCTGCTTTAAACTTCTTAACTTCCATGAATTGATATATAAAGACTAACATCTTAAAATCATATAAAAATATGAATGAAGGAAAAGTCTGTACCTGCAGTTGTATTTTTGTATCTTTGCTGACACTTTTTGTTCTCCATCGTCTTGTGACCCGCTTGTCTTTCTTTGAAATATCTACACAGTTAGCCTACATTACACAAATAGTTAAAAAGCAACAAAGTATTATTAAGTTCACACAGATGATACAGATATAGACAAACAGAGCATAGCATGTTAGTAAAGAATCCTTGTTAGCCACCCTAAAGCAAACCAGCCAGGAGAGAAAGTCATATCTGATGCACAGTGGGCATAAAAAGCAGAGATAAGAACTTGATCATAAAATATATCTGTCTGCTATACAAAAGGAAAACGGGATTACAGATCTTTAGCATTTTTTTCCTACATAAAAAAAATGGCAGTAATTCTGAGACTAAGTTGTATCTTCAAAGCTATCATTTCTAATGTGACACAAACATGGAAGAATAATTCACATATTTATTTCTTCTATGAGTTTGTACTTAGATATAAAATATACATTAAGATGTCAAAATAGATATCTTAACACAATGACACCATGAATTCAAAAATATTAGGATAACTCCAGAATATAGATTAATTTGTACTGTATTAGTCATTTTCTTTTAAATGTTACCTTATATATTCGTAGAACAATCCAGTAAAAATTCTGTGTTAATGACTTAAAGTCCTTTTGGTAATGTTTACCTGCATGTCAGTAAAGTTAGGTGCTGACTGGGTTCTCTGAAGTATTTCCAAATTTTGCAGGAGTTTGCTAAGTTCCACAAGGTTTGACTGGCAGTGTGCAAGGTCTAAGAAAAATCAGAAATAAAAATATGTTAGAACTGGGCAGGGAGGGGCAGGGATGGCAATAAAAGACAGTCAATCCAAATTATGGCAAGTATGATTAGGTAGAACCATGTTCATATAATGATGATACTGGCAAATGAAACAAAACAGACCCTTCTCCAGATTAGCACCTTAAAAGCATTGAGGATTAAATGAAGTCAATGCCTACTTACGAGTTAACAGCTAGCCACGACAATCTCAGTGAAATTGTGTGTGTTCACTTTCCTGTTCAGGTGGCCCTTGTTACATGGGAAGCACGTTCAAGGGAACTTCAGCAGTTGTATGTATGGTTTTATTTTTTTTTTTTTTAATTTTTTTTTTTCAACGTTTATTTATTTTTGGGACAGAGAGAGACAGAGCATGAACGGGGGAGGGGCAGAGAGAGAGGGAGACACAGAATCGGAAACAGGCTCCAGGCTCTGAGCCATCAGCCCAGAGCCCGACGCGGGGCTCGAACTCACGGACCGCGAGATCGTGACCTGGCTGAAGTCGGACGCTTAACCGACTGCGCCACCCAGGCGCCCCTGTATGTATGGTTTTAGTCTTAGGAACCTGTCTACTTACTCCTAACATAGTTTACAAGGTGGCTACCTGGAATTTAGATGGAGTCAAAGTCAAGTTCAGGAAAATAAGATGGAATACAAAGTCAGATAGACATATTTTTCTGTGGTTTAGATCACTAACAATATTGCAATGAATGATTTCTTTAAAACCTCTGAGGGATGTTATACTAAACACAACCAAAGATTCTCGAAGTGTGTTCCCTGGCCCAGCAGCATGAGAATCACCTGGGCATGAAGCTTATTGAATGTTTAATGAAGAAATGGCTTTTAATTTTATTTTTAATTTTTGGCTATATTTGAACAAGAGAGAATTTTAAAGATTTGCATAATAAAACATCACTCTTAAAAATTGAATTTTGGTACAAGAGTATTGAGTTATTAGTATTACTTACACAATTATCAATATTTAGAACATGCTGGTAGTTATGTGATTACTTTTGGACATATACTGTTTATAAAGAGACCGCAACAGGACACATCTATAAATCTGTTATATTATAAAGTGGTTAGAGTATGTAGTCAGTCAAATTTTGGTGGGAAATTTCATTTATATTTTCTTTGTTTCTCATTAAGTCTCAAGGATCTGCATTTTTACAGATATAGTACAGGCAGCAAAATATTGCTGTTAAATATGGCTCAAGATGAGCTGGGCCAAATAACACAGGGAGTTGTGTTTGGGGGATTTTTGACTCTTTTGTTGGATATAAAAACAGAGGAGCTAGGGGCACCTGGGTGGCTTAGTCGGTTAAGTGGCCGACTTGGGCTCAGGTCGTGATCTCGCGGTCTGTGAGTTCGAGCCCCGCGTTGGGCTCTGTGCTGACAGGTCAGAGCCCGGAGCCTGTTTCAGATTCTGTGTCTCCCTCTCTCTGACCCTCCCCTGTTCATTCTCTGTCTCTCTCTGTCTCAAAAATAAATAAACGTTAAAAACAAAAAACCAGAGGAGCTACTACTACAAGGGTCTTTCTAGGACTCCCAATCACTGCACACTCTATGGAGAGCAGGGTAGCAGCAGTTATAGGGCCAGGCCACACCCTCTTCTTCACAGCATCTGCCTGAGCATGGAGCCCAGATGGGCTGCTCAAGGGCAATGGTTGTTCTTCAGAGAACCGTTGGCCATCAGTGCCTTTAAACTCCTTCAGAGAGGAGGTGTGTGGAGGACAGTACTGAAGAAGACAGCACCTGCCACCACCTTCAGGGGAGGCCGTGCCCTTGTGCTCCCATCCTCTTCCCTATGAAGAAAACAAGGGTCCACTGGTTCAGGAGGGTAGGAAATACAGAGCATGAAAGGAAAAGAAAGAGGGAAGAAAGTAGTGCAAATAAGGAAGGAGGGTTAGAGGGAAGAGGAGAAGGGAGATGGGCTAGAAAGGGCCTACATTTTAATTTGCATTTTATTTATATGTTTTTTAACGTTCATTTATTTATTTTGGGAGAGAGACAGCACAAGCAAGGGAGGGGCAGAGAAAGGGAGAAAGAGAATCCCAAGCAGGCTCTGCACCATCAGTGCAGAGCCTGACACGGGGCTCAAGCCCACGAATTGTGAGATCGTGATCTGAATCGAAATCAAGAGTCAGACGCTTAACTGACTGAACCACCCAGGCACCCCTAATTTGCATTTTAAAGAACAAAACTGTATCATAAGCACCATGCTAGCAGGGACATTTTTTCACATTATCCATGCATTGAGCCTTCCATCTAGTGAATATGACATCCATGCTTCTTACTAAGTGTGATTATTATACACAAACGGTGTATGGAGGTAGCATAGGAATCTGGAAATGGGGCTTCAAACCATCAAAATAATATCCATTCTTTTTCCAGAAGAATGGAAAGAGATCTTTGTGAATGAAAGTGATTCAAGGCAAGAAACCTAAAACTAAGCTTCAGGTGACACGGACTGACTTTACATCTCCGGGTTGCAGTCTCTTCACCTGCCAAGTGGTGGCAGTAATATACCCGCCTCTTCCCTTCCTGCTTTAGAGTAGCCACTGAGGTGGTAGATGGGAAAACGCTATGAAGCCCAGAAAAGTACTGATCACACTGTGTTTAATCATGCCGCATGGCCTTAACTTAGAGCAAGCTGCACCCGTCCTCACCACTTCTATCGCTTGAAATATGGGAGAGATGAACTCCTTGGCAGGATTTCACTGCTTGCCTAAGTCTGGATGTACATAAGGATTATAAAGATTTGCCAAAGGCAACAGAGGTATCTTTAAAAAAAGAAATCTCTAAAATTTCTTTAACTAAGATTAAATCTAATTTTAGCAATGGGGAAAAGGAAAAGTATGCTGAGAAAATAACTGCTGAGATAGTTCATAATAGTGAACAGTTAAAAACTTAAATATCTAGCAATGTACTTATTTTCCCATCATGTTCTACCTTGCTCCAAAAAGAAACAAGTCGTCCAACTGTGGAATGGTTAAATAAATTACGGTATGTCCAAAGTTATCAACCTATTATTTCATTTAGATACCACTGATGGAAGACACTGGGTACCCAGTACAGTTCTAAGTATAGGGAATATAGCAATCAAGTAAGATTCATGGAATTTACATTCTGGTTAAAAAAAAAAAAAATTGCAAACAATTTGTATGTTAAACTATTAAGTATCCATCTTCAACACTGGCATATAGAATACTAATTTAACATTTCGTTTCCATGGGGGAAAAATACTTTCCAAGAGCCAAACAATTCCCTTACGTAATTGAGATCTGGACTGATGTAAGTAAGTTCAGATCTATGAATGGTTCACCACTTTGAGTATTAGCACTATAAATCAGATATATTATGGGTTCAAGATGTTACATGATGAATTTTTGAAATATAAACCTCAATACTGGGGACTCTATGAAATGATTAGGAGAGACTAAAAATAAAAGTGTTGTGGGAATTTAGAAAATAGAGTTATCATGGTTTGATATCATCAGAGCACACTTAAAAGAGAGACTGGAATCTTTTCTGGGTCTGGAGGATTGATGGAAAGGATTCAGCAAAAGAGAAAGGTGGAGAAGGGCAGAAAGGGCCCTGCAGGTGGGAAAGAACAATGCACACCAAAGCATGGAGGAGGGAACATGCAAGTGTGTTCAGGAAATAGCAAATACGTTCAGTTGGGCCAAAGGAAAGCAAAGTCGAAAAGGTAGGTAGGGACTGAAAGCTGAAAGATGGATATTATTATTATTATTATTATTATTATTATTATTTTAAGTAGGCTTCATGCCCAGTGCAGAGCCCAAGATGGGGCTTGAACTCAAGACCTTGAGATCAAGACCTGAGCTGAGATCAAGAGTCAGATGTTCAACCGTCTGAGTCACCCAGGCACTCCTGAAGGGTAGATGTTAAATGCCGGGCTAAGTAGTTTGGGCTGCAGAGCCCATGGAGAAACACCTGAAGGGATTTTTTTGCATAAAAGCTATTTAAAGATATGTCAGTCTTGAAGGGAGAAGTATATGACATGGGCAAAGAACTGGCTTCAGGGTTAGTCAAACATCTTCACCAGGGCAGCTGTGTGATCTTGAGCAAATTCCTTAACTTGCACGCACTTCACTTTCCTCTTCTGCAAAGTGGGGATTAGTAATATCTGCGTCTCATGGCTGAGTGCAATGGCTTGCTCAATGCCGGCCTGGGGCCTGGGCGGCTCAGTAGGTTAAGCGTCTGACTTCGGCTCAGGTCATGATCTCACGGTTTGTGGGTTCAAGCCCCTTGTCGGGCTCTGTCCTGACTGCTCAGAGTCTGGAGCCTGCTTCGGATTCTGTCTCCCTCTCTCTCTGCCCCTCCCACGCTTTCACTCTGTTTCTCTCTCTCTCACTCTCAAAAATAAATAATAAACATTAAAAAACATGGAAATGCCAGTCCAGAGTTGCTAACATGTTCCATAATGGCAATTTCCCAAAAGCCTATGAGAGGTGAACAGCAGAGCTGGAGACTGAGGACGACAACGCCAGCCAGAAGGCTGCTGACCGGCCAGAGACTAGGTGAACGGTGGGTCTGAGGAGGGAAGCAATTTGAGAGGAAGGGCAGATGAGGGCAGGGGGAAGGGTGGGTGTTTTCAAAGAAATAACAGAACTGAGTTTGGGCTAGATGAACAGAGTGGGAGGGTCAAAAAACCTCTCGGGTCTCAGAGGTGGTTATGACAGCAGCACTGACAAAAACAGGGGAGCCCAGCAGCTGGGGCTGTTGCCGGGAGAAGACAGAGGCTGGTTTCAGACAGGCCGAGGAGGGGCGTGACAGAGAGTACACACAGACGGAGCCAATGGCGAGGAGAGGCGGCAGGAACAAAACATAGGCTGGATGAGGAGCTGAGATTTATGCAGTTTTCAGTCTTTTTGAGAGGGTTATGGTGCATGTGCTCTGGAGTCAGACCACCCACGCTTGAACCCCAATTCCACCGTCGCTAGCTGTGTGAACTTGGTCGGAGTGAGTTGATTCCCCTGAATCTAGGTTTTCTCATCTGTAAAACGGCTCTGAGAGGATCAAATGAGTTGATGCATACAAAACAGCTAGGACAGTGCCTGTCACACAGGAAGAGCCTGATACCTGTTAGCTGCTGCTATTATCACTGCCACCGACCCCCCTCATCATCACCATCACCGCCACCACTCCCATCACCATCACCACTATCTCATCAAAATAGAGATTCCAGCTGACACTATGCGCATGCCTGTCACCTCCGAAGTGCAGAGCGTAGTCGTTAGAATCCAGTTGGCCTGCCCTAGGCCTCCAGCTCTCCCCAAGTATTTGCTGTGTAACACGGGCTAGGTATTTGACCTCTCGAAGCATCGGTTTCCCTATCTATAAACACATGGTTCCTAACTCCTGCCTGGTACTACTGTGAAGATTCACATGAACCACGTATGTAAAGCGCCCAGTTCAGTGTCTGGCCCATTAACGAGCTCCCAGTCAACCAGAGTTACTATTACAGATGCCGAAGGCAGAAGACTGAACCTTGATCGATCCCCACAACTGACGCTGACCAGACAAGAATCCAGGGAAACGGAGGAGGAGCAGTTGGAGAAAAAGGAAAACTTCATGGGGTCTCAGGGAGAAGTTCTCACAGAGGAGGTCCTACAGGGCAGGTCAGAGATGAGGTCTGAGAACAGAGTGGAGATCAGATGACCTCTTGCTACTAAGAATGCCTTTTTCATTGAGCGAAAGGGGCAAACATCAAATTACGGAGAGAAGCTGGAGTCTATGGACAGAGAGTAGAAGTGAATGGAAGATAAGGCTGTCTCCCAGAGAAGGGGTAGTTATTGCACTAAATCCTGAAGGAAACAGAGAGGCAGGATAGAAGACACAGGTAGAGTAGTCAGGGTGGGAAGAAGCAGGAGCACCCCAAGATAGGAGAGGAGGCACAGGGAAGGGCCATGAGTATTCTAGAGCACACAGAGAGACAAACGCATCCCTCTTGCCCCACCAGCCAGGGGCTTTCCTGGCATCAAAGCCAATGTCTCTTCACTTTGGTCAGATGAATGGATTTTGCCCCAGTGGATGGTGTCAATCTTGTCGGCAAAGGAGGCAGCCAGGTTAAATACCATGCGTGTTTACAAAACTGTGAAGTTAGCAGACAGGTGGAAACATCTAGAACCACTGCTGAGGCGAGACTACAGTGTTTTAAGACAGTGAGGTTTGGCTTCTTTCCCCAACCTGGAGACCACATACTCAGATGAATATCTGTGTGTTTTGTGAATACATTTAAGTACAAGCCTTTGAATGGAATGTCAGTTGGACATGCTTTATGAATATAACATCCTGTGTAAAATCATATTTTCACATAAAGATTGAGTATGGGATGTGTCCAGGGCTAATCAAAATGCTGTAGACTTTGAGTTCACACATACAGAGAACAAAAAAATATATATATACTTTTGGGGGTTGGGATCAACATGAATTGCCAAACTTCAGTTTTTCTAAATGAGGACATAAGAAAATAATCCAACATCTACTTTCACCATAATTCCATAAGAGAAAATAATTTAATATAAATAAGTTAGGCCCAATATCATCACAAAATAATTTTTAAAAATTAAATCAATTTAGCTTTATAAAATCCTTGCCATGTTATCCTTGTTTTCTCAGCTTAGGTCAAATGAAAACTATCTCATAGAATGGAAATGGTCTGTGGCAGTTTGGGCCAAAATGCTCAGTCAGGCTTATTACGAGGGAATAGAAAAGTTTCTGGAGATTAAGAGGCTCCACAATGGCAGAGTGAGGGAATTGTGTGTATGTTCAGAATGGTTAATAACTGTCCCATGGTGGAACACCAAAACAGGTTAAGTGTGGCTAGGAAATGCCATATAATTTTGCTACTTATTGCGGGTTGTCAGGAGACATACACCTGCTCTAGGACAAGTTGAAGCAGCAAAGGAAGCTGTACAAGTGACCTGGCAGCAGTGGAGAGCAAGGGTGGAGGTATCCCGGGGGCTGTACTGGGCTGTGAGATTGCCCCCAGGGTGTGGGGTGGGGCAGGTAGGAGGCTAATGAAGAAAGACGGGGACTGGTGGTGAGGAAGGAGGTGGCAAGGCCAAAGCGGAAAGGGGTGAAAGGCAGGGGAACGGGGAGACAAGATTCAGTAGTTGTGAGGGTGCAGGAGAATGAACAGGTGGTAGGAAGATGGAGTCACGGGAAGGGGAAGGATCTGGTGCAGAAAAATAAGAACTAGAAAGGTGGAGGCAAACAAGGAGGCTGGAGGGGGAAGGGAGCAGCATCCACAGTTCAAGTTCACCTCTTTCGTTTCTGTTCTCATGGCTTATCCTGAGAGCCTGCCCTGGGCAAGAACTAACCTTCTGCACACCTGTCCATTTCTTCCGAGTCCTGTAACCAGGCTGCCACCTTGCTCTGGCCGGTCGTGCAGGTAACGGGGAGGCTGTTGCTGCACGGTAAAGGGGACTGCCATGGAAAGCTGTTTGCTTGCACCTACAATGAACAAGAGGAAATGGATGGTTAAGCAGAAACAGTATATTTAAGTGATTTAAACAATTTTTTTGAGATATCCTCAAAGTGACATCAAAAAAGAGAAGAAAGACCACCCTGGAAATAGGGAGGAAGCCTCGGGGCTAAATGTGTACATGCTCAGTGAAGCCGAAATTCGTAAGTGATAACACTCATTAAGCCGCTATCTCCACCATATGAGGAGTGGAAAACACTGATGTATGTTATATCTCATATCTTAAGGGTCTGCCAGCTCAAATTCCCAAAAAATTTAATTTGCTCAGCAAGTTGTATTGGGCATGGGGTCCTTATTACAGGACTTCTAATTCATGAGTGAAGGCCTTTCCTTTCCAGAAGCTCTTACTTCCTTATGATCAGCTCAAGGCCTCATCAGCCACATGTGATTCCTAAATGCATTATCCACCATCCAGCAGCTGCGCACTGCTTTGAATGCATATTAAAAACTGTAATATACAAAAAGTCAGCATTGGCAAACTATCATTATCTACAGCTGATAGACTTTCCCGTAAAGGGATTTTATGTGAAATGAAGTTGCAGGAAGTATAGTAAGGAGATAACGCAATGAGTTCAGTGAACACTTAGTTGAAAAAGCAGGAACTTACTTTTGAAAAAGCTGAAACAATGTCAAAACTCCATATCTGACTTTCATATTCAATTACAATTGATTGTGTCTGTCCTAAATCATCATGAAGTGAAAGATGCACGTATTTAGCAAACCCAGACTTATTCATTACCCACACGGGGCCACATACCAATTAACATTCAGGACTCTCATAATTTGATACTTAGAATGCAAGCCAAGTGACAAAAAACTCTCTTCACTCTTTATTGCGTTCTGCTAAGTGTCACGGAGATCTTTCACCAAGTTCAATCTTAGAGGTGTGTCATTCGTAACTACAGCAATAGATCTTCTATGAAAACCAGAGCTAAAGAGCTTCTTATACCAAGGCAAACAGTGGAGAAGAACTGGCTTCAGTTCTCCATTCTCGGGTATCACCCAAGTTATTTAATAACTAACACAGGGATGAAAATACTACATCTTTTATCAATAGTCTATGCCAAAGATGTAGGCAGAAGCATCTTAAAGGATTAAATGTTCATATTTTTAAAATATCCATCTGGGGGTGCCTGGGTGGCTCAGTCGGTTGAGCGACCGACTTCGGCTCAGGTCATGATCTCACGGTTTGTGAGTTCGAGCCCCGCGTCGGGCTCTGTGCTGACAGCTCAGAGCCTGGAGCCTGCTTCGGATTCTGTGTCTCCCTCTCTCTCTCTCTGCCCCTCCCCTACTCATGCCCTGTCTCTCTCTGTCTCAGAAATAAATAAACGTTAAAAAAATTTTTTTTAATATCCATCTGGGATATAATTCTTGTTTAGTTTGGACTAACCCTGGGATTCATTCTATTCTGTGGTGAGAACTCAGGGGGCCTGGAAAACCTGAGGACTGTCTTAGTCATTGTGTGTTGGGTCACCCAGTAAGTGCTCTACTTCCTACCCTCTGACCTCCTTCTTTTTCACTTCAGAACTGGATAGTATGAGGGTTAACCCAATACCTTGGTCCTAGGAGGAAGATGTTGGTTAAACAATTCTTGGCAAGGCTACCACCAGAATGAAACAAGGTTTACGAGCCTTGTGAAACATAATTAATGGGATTTAACAAAAATCACTTAAGTGACTCCCATTGAAATAGTAAATAATGAGGGTGCCTAGGTGGCTTAGTTGGTCTGTTGAGCATCTGACTTCGGCTCAGGTCATGATCTCATGGTTTGTGAGTCTGAGCCCCACACTGGGCTCTCTGCTGTGAGCACAGAGCCCACTTCAGATCCTCTGTCCCCGCCTCTTTCTGCCCCTCCCCCTCTCATACTCATGGGCACGCATGTGAGCGCTGCCTTTCTCTCTCAAAAATAAATAAAAAACATTTAAAAAAAATAGTAAATAGTGAATACAGCAGTATTTCATGTAATCTGATTTGAGTAATCTCGCAGATTCCATGGGGTTTTTCAACGTTTTGCTAAGGACACTTGGATATATATTACATACATCCCTAAATAAGAAAGCAGAGAAAAGCAGAATCTTCACTGAAAGGTTCTTAAACCCAAATCTTTATGGCAGCCAGTTATTCATTCACAGATGTCTGTGTTCTCAATATCAGGTTCCAAGTGGGAAGCTGGAACACCCCTGGGCACTGCAATGTGGCTATGGTTCAGAAAACTTAATTACTGAATCAAAGGCAGAAACAACCGTCTCCCTGTCTCTTGTCCTCACTTCAGTTTTTAACAGGCAACACCTCTAGCTTTTCAGCCACATGAAAAATATGAACTCTTAATACAGGCCAAAGAACAACTTCAGCCTGCCTTAATCTGGTACTTAGTACAGTGGAAAGGGCACTGACTTTGGAAACACAGAGATGAGGATTTGGATTCTGGCTCAGCTGTTTAATGGTTATGTCATTTCTTTGAAAAAATTTTTTACTGTCTCTGAGTTTAGTCTATATTAAAAACTAGAGATGAGTGTCAAATGCTTAACACAATGGTTAATCACTCAAATAGTCTACTACATATATTATAGTCACATTCTTTAGCCAACTTACCTTAACTTCATGGGCAAATTCAATGGTATCTCTCTGAGTCATGTATGCAATATATTACACGTGTAATATATTCAAGGTAGAGAAGCAAATTTAATTTTCAAAACGTTGTGGTCTTCTTATTACCACCCAGGAAAATATCAATTTCTAGGGGCTGATTAGCCAAATGTTCACTCTACTTCCTAATATCCCTACAAAGCCATATAAAATTAGGATATGGTCCATTCATAGAAAGGAAAAGTAACTATTAATTCTCTTGGTGATCCACATTCTACCTAACCTATACTTGTGATTAACTCTGATGCCAAATGTCACTGTTGTCTTGAGGGTTAGTTTACAAAATAAATCTTCTCTTCCTGGTTTGTCAAATGACACTCAGTTATGTGCCTACATAATTTTCCAAGCAATTTCTGGGCTGATTTTTATATAACAGAGTCGTACCTTTCCATCCACAACAGAAACATTAGCAGCTGGTGAGGATTCAGCTGTGGAGGTTGAAGGAAATATGTGAAAACTAGCATCTCTTGGTGATCTGACAATTTCATTCTGCCGATACAATCGATGATGGCGCAATTTGGAGACCCATGCATCAAACCAGTCCTGGGATTTCACCTAAAACAATGAACAAGAGGAGATGGTAATGGTGAAACCAATCTCCTGTTTACCACTGGCACAGGCAAGTGAATTCCCCTGATAAAGGCAGAAAAACTATTGAGAAGTGACTTTACCTTCAAATGGTAGATATGCTCTTCTGTGTCAAGGTCTATTCTCCGAGCTTTCTTTTTAATTGACATGACCGAGAGTCCAACATCAATGCTTCCATGGACCTTCCCCTTTTGAATCTGAAGTCAGAAGACTAGTAAATAGGCTAGAAGGATATATGATTTGATGTGTTTCTGTACTGAAATGAGCTTAATGTAATCTTTAATTTATCTTTGGGAAAGGGAATACCACACCTTCTTTACACAAAGAAAAATGGTTAAGGTTCTGAGGTTAAGGTCCTTAATCTGAGGACAGGTGAAGTTTCTGTGACCTCTTCACACCAATTTCAATAAACAAGACTATTCATTTATTTTTCTTTCTTTTTTTTTTTTTTTTTTTTTTTTTTTTTTTTTTTTTTTTTTTTTTTTTTTTTTTTTTTTTTTTTTTTTTTTTTTTTTTTTTTTAGTTTATTTGTTTTTAGTAATCTCTACACCCAGCGAGGGTTTGAACTCATGACCTGAGATCAAGAGTTGCATGCCCTTCAAATTGAGCCAGCCAGGCACCTAAGACTATTCATTTCTTAGTCCTGTCTCTAGCACAATGTATAATGCTAATCTTCATAATTCTAGATTGCAAAGCTTATATCCCAAAAAAGATAGGCTTAGTGGTTCCTAAAATAACCATGGTCAATCTTTGACCCACAACTCAGAACATCCCCAAGTAATCAACTAGAAGACAGCTGCTGAGGCAGAACCAGGCAGCTGAGACTGAGAGCACAGAGCAGCCAGGGCTCCCTCTTGGCTGCCTTTGTCTGATCAAGGACACACAGATGATTCAGTGAAAGAGACGGGGACAAAACTGAAATCTGAGCCTTCTGTTATTTCCCCTACACCACAATGATAAGAAGGATGGCATTTTCCCGTTTTACATGCAAACAACTACTTCTTATATTAAAGAAAAATAATTTGTAATAATTTTACTGAGTTGGGATTCCCAAGATAAAAGGATGCATGAAACACAAATGAAGTTCATAAGATAGGTTTTAAAAGGATATAGACAAGAACAAAGGTTGCTTTAAATCTCAAAAAAAGCACATAAAGCATAGTTCATTGAGAGATGCATAAGAAAAAAAAAGTCTATTTGGGTTTTCTCTCCAAGACAGAAGGGGTGATTTTTATTAGTGTATCACTTTTAGGTGTAACCTTCTGTTTTGAAAAACACACATCACAATTGTTAAATTAAATCTTCATGCTCCCATCTGAGATTTTTATGCTAGCTTGAGCATAAGCATGAAACACATCTTCCATGGGACATGGAAGTTTGGTAACTTATTAATATATGTGCTGCCTAAGTGAGCAGGGTAACTTATTAAATCTTACAGGCACAGAAGAGCACAAAGCTGGTAGCTATGTCACAAGGCTTACACAACTGTGGTGTTTACTCACTTTAAAACAATCTTTGAAACATGTCCTGTGTGCTACTTACATCGAGTGGTGCCTTGGAATACTTTAACATGCCATTATCCAGGACAAAAAACCGCTGCAAAAACCAAACAACGCCCAGTTACCGTCTACATTTTGAATTCTATAAAACATTCACAAGCATGGGTCTAACGTTGCTTGGCACTAAGTAATCAGTATGTTTGATCATTTTAACTTATATGAATTCAGTGTACCTGGCCATAGTCAGTCACATTAAATGGTAAGGAAATCTGAGCTTGAATTCCATACTATTAGCTTACTAGGGTTCTTTTACACACAATCTGATGGAGAGCGAATCTCTCGCCATGCTTTCCTTGAAGGGAGTGGGCCTGGGGGATGGAGTCTCAGGACCCACAGCCAAGACTTTTGAATGAACCACATCAGGGTGTCTTTGAAAGTGAGAAATGAGAATAACTCAGTTTAGATCACAGTGATTCTGTAAGGAGCTTCTCTACAGCGAATTGTTCACTCTGGATGTAAACTCCTGCATTTCCCTGGATACCATGGAAAATTCCTGAAAATGCTCAAGTCTGTTACAGAAGCCAGTGAACTAGATCTAGGAGTAATAAATTATCTGGAACATTTACGAAGGAGCTTTAGCAATATATTTGTTATCTCCACTTAGCAAAATGCTTGCATTTCACTAAAAGAGATTAAAAATACTTCTAAATTACATTCAGGGTTAAAAGAGAGAGAGAGAGAGAGAGAGAGAGAGAGGGATTTTTGGCAATTTTTGTCTCCTTCAAGAAGCTCCTGGTCCACTCCAAACGAATCTAGCCATTATTGCTCCACAAACACTCAGGAAGACTCTGCTGGTTTCCTTTCCATGGGCAATTCACAAGGGAACAAACAATTCTCAGGACCCACTCAAACAACGGGTCCAGTGCCCTCCTATGGTCTCTAAAAGTGCAAGGAGTCTTTCTATGGCTGGAAAATTACTCTGCTGGGAAGGTTTTATGTGATTTGGGACCACTTAGCTGCTGAGGTAGCAGGTGGTCAAGCCCAGGGATACTCTGCACAGAACTCACAGAAAGCCATGAAAACCCTTTTGACACAGGTACTGGGGGGGCAATAAGAAAGCACCAGAAGAAAGTATCCCCACAGCTGAAAAACACTTGATTACTCAATCACCCAAGACACGGGCAATCACATATGCTGATGCTTGACTAAATATCTGATGGCGCTAAAGACCAGGAGAAAAGGCAATCCAAGTTGAGAACCTCCTACTACTGATATAGAAAAATGCTCAAAGGTATGGCCTAGAAAGAATGGCTGTTGAACCACTGAGATGTGGACCTGAGAATGCTAAATTAAAGTTAGTGATTCATGTAACATTGGTTTCTCTGACTTCTTTTCTCTACTTTTCCATTTCTACCTATCAAAGAATGTTAGCAGGTATAACCTACTGTGTGATCATGGGGGAAGAGATTAGCAAGGCCAGTGATTCGAGGAATTGCAAAGTGGTGAAGCCAGAATGAAAAGCAAAAGGTGATTCTAGGAAGCAGTACGGCCAGCTGGCCAAAATCCAAGGAAGAACAAGGGTGGACAGAAATTTTGGTATTGGGATAATATTATGGGTTCAGGGGAGACTGAGAAGGCTTCTGAAAGGAACATTAGAAGCCTCTTTGAGCTATTTTTATTTCACGCACAGAGACTGGGAAGTAGGGCATTTGCCGTCGGTTAATTTTTAAGTCTTCCCCTTAAATCGCAAAAAATGTGTTTGCAAAAGATGCTATAATCCATAACATCCCTGTTTTGGGCCACTGGAGAGTCACCAGCCAGTCATTTGGGCCAATAGATCCATCTGCTCTGAGATGAAATCCATCAGCAGGTGCGGCAAGTACATGAACTTGTTCTTCCAGTGATTTCAGAGAAGGTACTGGTGGTCTGTTGAAGGCCTTATATTGAAAATGGAGGATAATTTTCTCCTTCTTAGCCTCACAGAATTCTTGTTACTTAGATAACTGCATTGGTGTAGTACTAAATATTTTCTCCATAATTAAAACTGGAAGATGGAGAAAGGATGTAGAGGTAGGGGAGAGAGGAATAAATCACATACTTTTAAGAGCAGTAAACAGACTTCTGTGATTTTCCATCTTTAGTTTGCACTGGTAACAGTAATTACAGGATTTTATTCCAAGGACTTAAATGGAAATTTGTGTATAAGGATGTTCATCACAACAGCATTATAGTAAATAAGTTAGATATATCCTACATGTGCAGCAATAGGGAATTGGTTCAATAATGGTGCGATATATAGCATAAATCCATCCAATGGAACGGAACATATGTATGCATTTAAAAACATCTTATTTCAGAGAATATTTAATAAGCATACATTCATGTTATTATTTTTCTATATTCATATTATTTTTAAATGAAAAAGTAGAATAGACAACATGTACAAACTGGATTTTAAATATAATGTAAAATATTTTTTCCCTGCATACAGATATTATGTATCTCAGACTTAAATGGGTATAATGGGTTGAGCCCACACAGTTAAACAAAAAAGGCTTTGAAAATTAGTTTTACACATACAACCATTCTCTTCGTTTCCCACCTAATGACACCAAATAAGATCTTCTCTATTGACGACGAAGGTCTGGAGATGAATATGATGAAAATGGTACCTTGTGCCAGCCTTTTAAAGGCCATTTTCTTTTCTTCAGCATAAAGCCTTCATGTTTGTCTGGTCTCTGGACATTGGTTTGGCCTATTTTCAGCCCTTCTATAATTTCCCAGCTGTCAGCTTCCTGAGAGAAAAGAAGAAAAACAAATCACGTATTTCTCGGTGTTTGATGACACAGTCAAAGCAGACTCTTAAGTAGAAGCTGCTTTTGAAACAACACTGGACACACCGGAAGTCTGAACCACATTCTGAAGCAAATTCTAACATCAGACACAGCGACGCACTTATAAGTGAAGTTAAAATGAGTTTCCAGTAGACCTGGATGCATGCAGGTCCATCAGAGACGGGTTGGGGGCTGGGTGCTGGGGGCTGGAGCAGAATGGAGTTTTGATTGCATGTACTCAGAAGATTTAAAATGCATTTTTCCAGACAGTTCATCTCTGGGCACAAAGGCACTTTAACGTTTTAAAGTAAGGCTGTTTTGATGACAAATGTTCAATTAGTGTGGAGACCTGGGCTCCTGTATAAAATGGAAAGGCTGCAGTGGTCTGAGTGGTCCATCACCTACCCAGCTAAAAGCAGTGCTACGGGCTGCACGTATTTCAGAGGGCTCGTGAAATGCCCTGCCTGCCACAGGACACTCAGAAGTCCATGCTTTCAGAGACACACATCCTGAGAAACACTCACCCTTGGGTGCCCATGTAAAGAGCACCAGACTTGAAAGCCAGAAATCTTGGATTTTAGAGGCTATGCTATCACCCTCCTCTGTTAAAAACAGGCCAAATCATGGTTTCCTATTTCATAAGACACGTTTTGTCTTGTCTATGATGTCTAAATTTTTTAATGAGCTGTCAACATTTAAAAGTCAGACGGTTTCAGGTATAAAAAATCTGAATTTTGAGTGTTTTGCTAAAGTCTATCATATCTGGCAGCACTGGGTCTGCCCTGAAGGGATGGGTGTCCAGACATGTTCAGTTCGTCACGGCCCCCCTCAGACCTGCTTCCGTGTTAGATACCCAACCCTTAGCGACATCCTGGGTTTTCAAATCCCTGGACTGGGCGGTTCCTACGGGCCTACGCCACCCTGAAGTAACCGCTGACCTGGCAAACACTCCCATTCAAGATCTCAGGCATGGGTCACAAAGCAAGCAGTAGAGGCAGGAGCAAACATCACATCCCATTCACAACTGCTATGATCCTGCCCCCGGTGCAGGGAAGCACAATCTCTCGGTGTAACCTGCTCCAGTGCCTCAGAGCACTGGGGTGCTCTGGTATTCCCATTTTAAAATACTGAACTGGAGGGCGCCTGGGTGGCTCAGCCGTTAGGCGTCTGACTTCGGCTCAGGTCCTGATCTTGCAGTTTGTGGGTTCGAGCCCCACCTTGGGCCTCAGAGCTCAGAGCCTGGAGCCTGTTTCGGATTCTCTGTCTCTCTCTCTCTCTGCCCCCCCCCCCTGCTCATGTTCTGTCTCTCTGTCTCTCAAAAATAAATAAACATTAAAATAATAATAAAATAAAATAAAATACTGAATTGCACCTCAACAAGTGAGCATTGCTTAGGAATAATGTTGCAATCATCAGAGAAGATACTAGTTTCTACTTTCACCAAAGAAAGTAGACAAAAAATTTCATAAAAATGATGGATTTTTACTGATTTCTTTCTAAAAGTTTGATATAATCACATAATTAAAGAATAACTCTCTGTATATATATAAATATATTCATTAGAGCTTTCTCTGTTCTTAGATATCAGCTGTATTTAATGACATTTCTATTTTTAGTAGCCCTATCCATGTATAGCATCTCTAGAATAACATTTTTATTTTCAACTAGTTCTCATTTGAAGGCTAGTGTTCATCTTTCATCTATTCTGTGTGTGTGTGTGTGTGTGTGTGTGTGTGTGTGTGTACACATACATATATATGATGTGTGGTATGTGGGTGTATATATATATACATTATATATGTATGTGTGGCCATTATGTGTGGCCTGTGTGTATATATACATATATGATCTGTATGGTGTACGTGTGTGAATATATATATATATACATATGTATAGGTATATATGTATACATGTATACGTAAGTAAACACATATACATGTGATGAAGAATACTCTGGATAACTTGTAAAAATGGAAACATTTAATAATAAGTGTTTGGATAAGCTTTTTGGATTTTTTTTTTCTAATTAAACTCAGACCATAATACCAGCTTGTTCCTGTGGCACAATGGCTACTGATTTCTATCACAATAGTATTTTTCTTAGTTTAACTACAGAGGAGGGAAATAAAGGGATAAGACAGAAAAGACAAAAGGTTAAAATGTATTTCTTAAACATAAATGCAGTAACTCCAAACAAATAACTCTATTTGCTCTGATTCAATATTATTAAACCCAAAGAAATTGAAAAGAATCCCAATACAGTTCTTATAGTTAAATAAGCTGTCCAACTGACAAAGAGGCAAAAAGGTAAATCCAGAGCAAACAACATCCTCCCTATTTCAATTATAACTGCAGATGACAATGTTACAAATAAGGTGTGTAAGAAATGAAAACAGCCCATCTCAGCCTTTAATAGGACCCACCTCTATGCTTAGTAGACTAGGTCTATCTTAAGGAACTTAAAATTACTTTCTGAAAATTGAAGGAGTTTTTGTAATTTCAATGGATATTAATTTTCTGCTTAAAAGTCTCCAATTTTTGTAGGTACACTTGTAATGGAAACAGTCAAAAGCCCTTATGTGATCATATCGGGACTTGAGTCAGATACACAAACATTTTTGCTATTACAGAAATTTAAAATATACTTTTAATCTAATAACAACAACTAAAATCAGAAAGTAACCTAGTAACAGCCCTCATCTGTTCATTTGAGACACTTCCTTTCTCAAGGGTATACTCCAGAGGCATGAGTGTCAGGGATGGGGGTGGGGTGCTACATCAACCAAACTAAGAATTTCGACAAATCCTGAGACAGGACAATGTGTACTTCAAACAATGTTCTTCTACCGTCAACCAGGGCCCAGGAAGTCCATCTCTTCTCAAAGGGATGGTGAGATGCTCTGGTATCTGGAATGGATGGGACCCTCTGATTTCATGAGGCCCTGAGCAATGTGGTATTAATACAAAACACAACAACAATAGTGTAGTCCTACAGCAAGATCCAAGCGGGTAACAGCGTGGAAGAGTAATGGGAAGTGGATACAGTTGGTGCCCTACCTAGATGCCTGTAAGAGCCCAGTGGATCCACGCCCCAGCGGTAGAGGCTCCCTCCTTCTACCGTGAACCGCCTTTTACTGAAGCTGGGGCCATAGAGCCTGGGCATGAATCTCCCTCCTCCATGGCTGGGGCATCTACACCTCAGCATCTCCTTCCCTCAAGACTCTCAACTGCTGAAGGACACAAGAATACCAACAGCTGACGGAACAAAAATCCCTGCCTCAGAATAACAGCAACACTGTGATACAATTCATGCCCAGGGCTCACCGTGGAGTCGGGCTGAAGGTAGACTCCGGCCAAAACCACTTCTTGCCAGCACCGCACTGTCCTAACCTCTTCTCTTACCCTTTCTCCTGAGGGCTCTCCCATAATGAGCCACAAACACCCTAAGCCCAGTCTCAGGTCTTCCTTCTAGAGGACCCGATGTAAGAAAGGATGTAAAATAAAGTAACAGATGTGGTAAGTGCAGGGACAGGCTGGGGCGGAGGGTGCATTGGGGTAGGGAGGTGATAAACAGCATCTGAAGAAGGATTCCTGTGGGCCTGACTTAGAAGAGTAGGGCTTTCAGCTAGGGGCACTCCAGAAGGAGCAGACATGCAGCAGTGGAGGAGAGAAAGCGCATGGCCAGTGTAGGGAACTGTGTGCAGGTGGATGTAGCTGGAGTGTAAAGTGAGATGCCATGGAGGTTCGAGATGCAGTTGGTGGGGGACGAAGGACCCAAGCAAGTCTTGTGTGTGTTTGCTTATTATTATTATTATTAATTATTATACTTACTAGATCGCCAGTTTATTGTAAAAGGATACAACTCAGGAACAGCCAGGTGGAAGGGATGCAGAGGACAAGGTACGGGGAAAGGGTGAGGAAGTTCCATGCCCTCTGCAGGGGTGCCAATCCTCCAGTGCCTCCCCACGTTCACCGACCAGGAAGTTCTTCCTTATTTGTGGTTTTCAGCCCAGCAATTCTCCTTGTCGTTTCTGTGTGTCGTTCTCTTTTCACTGTGTATCTCTCACCATCCTGGTCTCTGTCACACACCACCTATCTGACTCCGGACAACTAGCTTACTTAGGCGCCAAGTCTCAGTTTCCTCATCAGTAAAATGAGAAGAACGTCAATAGTTACCTCATCCAGTAGGCTGATTATGTGAGAGACTATATGTACTGATCCAATGTCTGAGACAAAGTAGACACCCAATAAATGTTAGCTGCCATTCCCATGGCCCCGGGATTTATTTATTCTCTCTCTCTGTTAGCTGCCTGTAAGAGAGAGCTGATATTTTCAAAGAGATTACCAGTTGTATTTACCAAGTCACCATTCTCTGTTTGCCATTCAAATAGAAATCAGATTCCTTTCTATTTCTCTCTAAATTATTTTTTAAGTTTAGTAACCCCCTTTCCTTAGATTAGCAGTCTACTCCTGTCCAATAACACAAACTTCATAGCTTGTAATATCTTCTAAATATGAAGAGTACAAGCACATATTTTCCATACCACTAGGGTAGGAAAGTGTTCTTTCCTTAAAGGATTCTGTTTAACACAGGGAAAGCAAAGAAGAATCAGTTCAACATATTTCAAAGTCGTTTGGGGGAAATAAAGTGCTATTTTTATATCTGAACTCAAAATCCCCATGCAGTCTATTTGCTGAGTTTCTCCACAAGACAGGCAGCCCACTGAAGATCGCAGGAGTCGAGCAAGAGGTAGGGGTGAGCAGGATGGCATCTCCCCAGCTTTTCTTTAGGATTTTGTATTTTAGACATAAATAAATTTAGATGTTTCCCTAGTCCATGAAAGACAAGGCTGAAGGGAGGGAATGCTGGCTTCCATTAAATGAAGAGCTCTTAATAATCTGCAGTGTTCTTCCAAGAGCTCACTGCAAGGCAGGCCAGATATAAGGAGAAGGCTGGAACCCTCACGTCCAACAGCCCCTCAGGTAGGTACTATTTTATCTGCAGGTGGCCTAGCACTGAAATGGTCTAAGTCTGAATCCCTGCTCTGCTACTTTTTCTACTTTCTGCTTGCTTTTTCAGACGTTGAGCAAGTTACTAATTCTTGGTTTCCATATTTGTAAATGTAATAAATACCTCCACTGCATGGAGCTGTTTGCAAGGGTTATATTAAATGGGATAATATATTTAAGCACCTGGCACAATGCCTGGTGCACAGTGCAGGGGCCATGATGGTAACAGGTGGTGTTGCTGGTGGTGGTGGTGTTATTTTTTATTTTTATTTTTTTTCTGTTGGACCCAGTGATTTTTTTCTTCCTATTAGCTTGGCATAGAAATATCTGCTCATGTCTCCAACAGAGGAACGATAATACTTTCTCTTCCTTTAAACTCCAGAGTATTTTGGATCTTTGTAACCTTGCAAATTGCAGCAAAATATACTTTCATCTATTCCTCCCTTACACAGGGCAGAGAAACCTTACATACTGGAGGCAGAAAGACGTGGTAGCACAGTGCTACAACAGGTATCACAGCCACCTCAGGGGAGTCAGGTGTAAGGGCTGTTTACGATCCAGCTGGCCCACAGCAGGCATCAAGCCGTCTGAGAAAGCACCACATTCCACCACTGACCTTGGAGAGGGGGACAGGCTCCGGTTCTAGCAACTGCCGACTTACAGAGGGTTCGGTGCTGGAGGAAGCAGTCCTCTCCAAGACGTGGATACTCTGAAAATAAATGGAAATACATCCCAGGGTGAGACAGCCCATTTTTCACATGGATGGACACAGGGGCGAGGTCACACAGTGAACTACAGTAAACACAGTGAGCCATGGTAACGATGGCAACTTCCTGAGGAGACCAAAGGCAGCAGCAACAGTCAGAAAAATGCCAGCACGGGATTTTGTTTTCCCCTCTTCCAGATATGCTCTACAACAGCTGGTTTGTCTTCGAGAAAAAGTCAGAGATTGCACACATTTAAAAAACCACAGAGCATGCCTCAACATATTTATTACTTTATGAGAATGTATATCCACCACTTAGACAATTAGCCTTACATAAAAATATCTGCTTACCTCTCTCTGAGGGCAACAGACAAAAGGGAAGGTCTACATCAAAAATCCCAGAGCCTTAATACCACTTAGTCTCTAGAGTTTCTTATAATCCTTATGAAATCATTGTAATCATAGTATCTTACAAAAATTCTTAAATGAGCAGAGAAGAAAATGATTCATCAAATACAAAACAGTAGATGTGTGTTATAGACTACAAAAAGGACTCACAGATCAGTGACTTTCCAACAGAAAAATAGCAAAGAACATTAACAGGCAACTCATGCAGGACATTTGAAAAGATGTTCAACCTCAACCTCAGAAGTATTCAAAGAAATGAAAACCAAATAATGATTTTTTTTTAAAACCATTAGATTCAAGAATAGATCAGATGGGAGAAAGGGAGTATAAATCGGGTGTGATCTTTCTAAAGAGGAGCCGTTTTATTTAAAAAAAAAAAAAAAAAAAAAAAAAAAAAAAAAAAAAAAAAAAAAAAAAAAAAACTCTTTGGAAAAAGAACATGCCTCATTGACCTAGCAATCCCATAGCTAAATCTTTACCCTGAAGGAATCAGATTTGCTATACAAAGATATAAGGACAGACAGCTTACTATTATTTTACTATAGTAAAAAACATCTAACACATATGAGACTTATAAGGCAACTCCATGCAGTGATCAAAAATGACAATGTGGATCTGTATCTACTGATATGGAAAAAATACCCCCGATGTTCTGTCAACTGAAAAATCAGGCTATCAAGAGTATGTAGAATATGATACTATACATATAATCAAAACATGTTCCCTAATGTTCACAGCAGCTGCATAAAGGGGATAGAATTATAGGTATTTTTAATTTTTTCTTATTTTTTAATGCAATAAGTAGATATAACTTGTGTATTTGGGAAAAAGTATTTTCTATGGGGGAATAAACGTGAAAGACATCAAAGAAATAACTCAATGGAATTAATATTTAGGTGTAGGCTGAAAATGAAAAGTAACTTTTTTATTCTAGTGGGAACATTTCACTGTTTCAATAAATGAGGTCAGTATTTTATTTACTTATTGAGGCCTCTGTTTTTTGATATCTCACTGGAAAATTTTTAGGTTAATATTTGCTTTTTCAAGAAAAAATTACACTCCAACCTGAGCCAAATTATTCTAATTTCTTGGTAAGTTTCCAAGCTTTTGTTTATTTCTATTACCTTGAGAATAAAGTGTCTGATTACAGATTTTGAAATCCTCCCCAAATGCATTTTTAAAATCATTTATTAGAGAATAATTGGGGTACCTGGGTGGCTCAGTCTGTTAAGCGTCATGATTTCATGGTTCATGGGTTCGAGCCCCACCTGGGGCTCTGTGCTGACAGCTCAGAGTATGGAGCCTGCTTCAGATTCTCTGTCTCCTTCCCTCTCTGCCCCTCCCCCACCCATGCTCTGTCTCTCAAAAATAAATAAATATTAAAAATTTAAAAAAAAAACAAAGAATAATTACAGTGAAAAGTTTATAAACTGTTCCCCATTTCTCCAATTTTGAGGAAATATAAGAAATGAGAAAAGAACAGATATTTTGGGGCCAAATATAAAGTTGGGCAGCAAGAATTCCTAACCTGACACCTATAGTGTCCAAGGACAATCTAAGCATTAGCTGGGACTCTGTTCTTCCCATTTTTGGATTTATCTGAATGAGCAGAGAAAAATGATGAATGTAGCTCAGCATCCATATTTGTGTCAGTGCCTTTTGTGAGATAGTCAAAAGCAAAGGCATCTTATGGAGTGAAAACCTGGTGGTGTGTGTTCAGATCTTAGACAAAAAGGGAGCAAAAGACTCAGGACTTGCATATTGATATTTTGGATAGGATCCTATTCAAAACATATCAGCTAAATTTAAATTTTAGATGTATTCTGAGAGCATATAATTAGAAACTAAAATGAGAATTTTGTTGCTGTTGAAACAAGAATGTTATGGGGCGCTTGGGTGACTCAGCTGGTTGAGCATCTGACTCTTGATTTCAGCTCAGGTCATGATCTCAGGGTCATGGGATTGAGCCCCACATTGTGCTCAGCACTGATCATGGAGCCTGCTTAGGATCCTCTCTCTCCCTGTCCTTTCCCCACCCCCCGCCCCCCGCCAAAACAAAACAAAACAACCCCAAGAATGTTATTACCTTCTTCTGGGAGGTAATGTCCCTCTCCCAACTTTCATTTTATTTTTATGTTTTAAAATGACAAAACTAATATACGCTCATTACAAAAGATTCAAACACAACAGAGAAATACAGAAAAGGTCAAACCTCCCATTCCTTTGCTGCTCATCACTTTACCCCTTAGCTTCTGGAGCAGTGATTTATCAAAAGGTAGTCCATGAACCTGGGAGTCCCTAAGGCTCTTTCAGGGGGTCTGAGAGGTGAAAACTCCTTTTATAATAAAGCCAAGAAGTTACTTGCCTTTTTAATTCTCATTCCCTCATTAATGTACAGTGGAGGTTTTTGGAGGATACATAACATGTGGTATTATAACATATTAAACAGAAGCCGACTGAGAATCTAGTTGTTTTCTACAAACATCAGAAATTTTTTTTACAAAAATGTAAAACATTATAATTTTCACTAAAATTAATTTTGGTAATATTGTTAAAAAATTTTTTTTGATGTTTATTTATTTTTGAGAGAGAGAGACAGAGTCTGAGTGGGGGAGGGGCAGAGAGAGAGGAAGACACAGAATACGAAGCAGGCTCCAGGCTCTGAGCTGTCAGCACAGAGTCCGACATGGGGCTTGAATCCACGAGCTGTAAGATCATGACCTGAGCTGAAGTCAGATGCTTAACTGACTGGGCCACCCAGGTGCCCCGGTAATACTTTTTTTTTTTTTTTTTTTTTAAATTTTCTTTTTTCAACGTTTATTTATTTGTGGGACAGAGAGAGACAGGAAAAAGAACGGGGAGGGGCAGAGAGGGAGACAGAAGGGAATAGCTCCAGGCTCTGAGCCAGGGCCCAGAGTCTCACCGCCAGTTTAAATCCGAGGCCGAGATCGTGACCTGGCTGAAGTCGGACGCTTAACCGACTGCGCCACCCAGGTGCCCCGGTAATACTTTTTTAAAATAAAAAATGTTATTTAGGCTAGCATGTGGTGAGTCTATTTTGATGAATATTATGGGCTGCTTCTGGGTGGTCACGGGTCAGTTAAGCGGGCTTTCACTTTAGGTCATGGACTGCATGGGTCCTGAGTTCGGAGTCTCAAGGCCGGGCTCTGTGCCGGACAGCTCAGAGTCTGGAGCCTGTTTCAGATTCTCTGTCTCCCTCTCTGACTCCTCCCCGTCATGCTCTGGTCTCTGTCTCAAAAATAAATAAACGTTTAAAAAAATTTTTTTTTAATTAATAAATAAATATATTAAGAAATATTAAATTTTTTATACACTTTAATTTCTAATACAGTAAATACAGATATAATCCACATATACACAACTCTCTTTGAGGTCTTCATTAGTTTTAAAGAGGGTAAAGGGTTCCTGAGAACTGCTATTCTAGAAAAAATACTATAAAACTTTTGTGGTTATTAAAATGGAGAATTCTGACTTGCACCTAAGTTATTCTTTTTCTCATAAAGCTTATTTTCAGGAAAAGCATTTTAAAAAAAAAAACTAATATTTCAAAATTTACTTACAACTACTTAATCTACCTCAAACTAAATTATATAAATCTACTCATTAACAATCCCAAACTGTCCAGACACATCACATAAACCGGTAAGAGGAAACCAAATCATGTTTCATGTACTCTTCAAATATATCTGAGAAAACCTTCCCTAATTGTAAATTCTATAAAGATTAAAAAAAAAAAAACCGTGGAAGTATTTTTTAAATGCATGAGTTGGTTTTTCTAAAAAAACAACCATGAGCATAAAAGATATATAGGTGTCAATGAACTCTGTCTGCCGGTGAAATGTACCTGTAATTCATTCATCCATCCAGTGGTTCAATTAATCACCAAATAACCTATTGGTGATTGGGCCCCTGTACTGTGCTAGGAGCAGATGACAGGGTGGTGGAGAACAAAATAGACAAGAGAATTGCTCCTAATGATTATATTCTAGAGAGAGGTCTTATACCAAAGACCAAAAAAGGCTGAACAAATTTTTATAAACCTGCGCCTTAACCCTGTTCCATGCGGCTACTGCTTTTACTTATTTCATATTGTCTAGGGAAATATCGTTGGCTTGAGCTTCTCTTTAAGGGCCCTCCTCAGCCCTCATCCTTGCAGGTTGCTGAGCAATAGAACACATATACATTGCCTCCCCCACCCCATCCCTGTCAAATAAACATGGTAAGGGAAGCAAAACTTGACCTTAGTAACTATGCAGGCAGGAAATAAAGGATTAACTCAGGAATTTAGCCAGGGGAAGGAAACTAAATCCTCTAATTTCCAAACCAAGCCACAGACCTATAGAAGATCAATTTAGGATATTTAAAGTATGATAAAAATGAGTTTTGTTTCTATAGACACCTATCTATCCAATTATTTATTATTGTCCCATGATAAAAAATTAATCCACTACCTTAAGAATTGCCTTCATGGTGTTTAAAGTCAAAAGCATATCCTGAGGTTATATAATTACACACAACGCTTCATTATTTGTAGTGAACTATCTAAATACTTGAATGCTGCATTTTCAACATCG